CCTCCTGGGCCGTGCAGGATCAAATACTCCCAAGGTGTAGTGAGTGTGTGTATTTAGCTCTATATTCCTCAACACCATAGCCACCTCCATCAGAGCTGCAGCCACAGCCTTTTTACAGAGTCCAGGACCTCCGCGTGCCCTCTGAGTTTTCTCTTTATGGGCTCTAGCTCATCCCTTGACTTGCAGAGAAAACAAGAGCAGAGCAGTCGTTTATGGGACTCCTGGGGAAAACACAAAGAAGAACAGAGAAAAAAAATAAGAGGGAAGATTTAGTGGCGCTAGAGGCTTCTGCTTACTGGAGGATGACACGAGAGAGGAGGCTAATAGAGGAAGTTAAAGGATTAGCACTCTGACTGCAGCGCCACCCTCAGCTGACAGGAAGTAGGAATTGAATACATAACGGAGGAACATCCACAAAATAAAACAACAAACAGCAATGAATGATGCAATAATTTTCCACCAACCAACTCAAAACCTGCTTGGAAAAACTTAACAAGAAGATAAGAGACGAAAATGATACATACAACAAAATGTTCTCAAACTTACTTTTGAAAATATGATATGATACAATGAGATACAGTACAACATGATTACGCACAAAACATTAAAATAAAAGTAGACACAACGACATAAATACATGATATAATAATGATATGATATGATAGAAAATATGATATGACAAGATTTGAGGTTATTTAAAGTGATATATCATACATTATATGAAATGTTATGATTTATGAGAAATGGTGTTCAGTATAATACATGATATAAAATACAATCTGGTGTATGATATGACATGACATGACCTGACATATGATTGATTATAAGATATATGGTATGTAATGATGTAGTAATAGATAATATGATATGGTGTGGTGAAGTATATGTTATGACATATGATGTATGATATAAGGTGGTTCGATATAAGGTATGAAATATGATATACATACATTATATGAAATATAAGGAAGTTTGATTAAATTTGGTATCACTCAGTATGACAAAATGGAGTTATGATGGTACATATGAAATGATATATGACACATGGTATATGTACGTATAGAACGTTCAGATATGACATTATGATATATATATTATAGGATTATGACAAAATACATTATTTAGTGATTTCAAACATTGCATACATCTACGTATATTGACACTTAACTTTCTAACTTTGCATTTTTTGTCGTAAATATCGTCCGAAAAGCATGTTACTTTCACTTTAACTTTCCATTGTTTTCATCATCACATTTACACATGATCAGACATGTTTCAAGGCTGGAAAACAGAAAAAAAACAGCAAAACACCTCCAAACGTGAGCATGAGGACAAGCTGAGTCAGTGTGCTTCAATTTTTGTCAAACGTTAATAGAAATGAAACAAATGAAGACAAAGAGGAATGGTGAGGAGGCTTAAAGAGGGTGTGAACTTCCGCCCCTACAGACACAAACCAACTCATGTGGGCTTGGTTCTCCTGGGGAGACCCTGAAGATAAACACTCCCGTTCGTTTAACATGTTTCGCCTCTCCTCCTGACCTCCCTCCTTTTTCACCCTCATGTCTATCCTCTCTCTCTCTCTCTTTTGAAACTTTCTCTCTCTCTCTCTTTGTCCAGATGTTTGGCCCGGCAGAAGCAGCAGCAGCCGGCACATGGAGAGAGAGAGAGAGAGAAAGAGAGAGGGGAGACCTGGGGGGATAAGTGGTGGGGATCTCCAGCGTGGACTGGAATGCTGACCCCCGATCCATCTCCATCAGCAGAGGAGCGTTTGTTTGACTTGAGATGTGATTGTGTTTTCTCTTCCCCACACCTGCAGCTTCCTCTGAACCACCACCCACCAGCCCCCTCCTCTCTTTAGGCTCTCTAGATGCTCGTTGATCGATTGCTCCAACTTGAAAAATCCACAACAGATCTGAAGCACTTTGGATACATGGAGAGAAGTCAAACAGGTTTTTTATTGCACTTTTTGCTTACAAGAAAGTTTTTGAATTGGAGGCAGTTGGTGGAAATTGTGCGGGATAATCACTTGCACATTTTCTGGAGCTGGCAGCTTGTTGCGCCTTATTAGCTCGAAATTCATATCAATATTAACAGCATACTTGGAGTTGACATGACTTTTACATGTGATAGTGTACACATGGCTCACATTTTATTTTAATGGTGAAATAAAAATGATAAGGAGCTGTGACAAAGACTTTGGCAGTGTGCTAAGAAGGCTGTAACTGGGAACTGGCTGAAATCAGAGCCATGTAAAGTTAATAAATAGGTAGAATAATACACAATATGAGGTAAAGACTTCATATAGTTTTGCCAAATGTAAAAAAAAAAAAAAATCAGAGCAAAAATCTCTAAAATATAACATAACATTTTGTGAGTCCCTGAGCTCCATCATGCTGTAGGTTCCTCTGAAATGCTGTCGCCTCTGTCCACCTTTCACTTTCTGCTTCTCCCTCTATCCCATCTCTAAACCCAATGCAGTAGCACCAGATGACTGTCTATAAGAGTCTGGTCAAAGTTTCTGCTTGTTAAAGAAAGTTTTTCCTCTCCACTGTAAATAAAGATTGATTAACTGATTGGTTGATAGGGGGAAGTGGAGTTAACATCACACGGTTATCACCACAGCATCTTTCTTAGGCCTCTTTGGGTCCCCTTTTCGTGTCCTTGAAACCTTGAAACTTTCTAGGAATTCATAGATTAGCTGTCTAAATGATGCAAGGTTTATAAATAAAAAGTGATGTATCTGCAGGAATCCTTTTACACCCAGAGCTCCATGTTCCTGCAGCAGAGGGGGGCTGAGGGATCCTCTGCAGCCTCGTCGACACGAGGGGCTCAGAGAGGCGCTCATTCATGTTGATTAACAGGACCTTCCTCACTCTCATCCCATCCTCAGTGGTTTACTCTCTCCTCGGGGAGGAAAGCCCACATGGATGTTTTTTTTTCTTCTTTATCCCACATGGTTTTTCACTTCCACAACAGCACGTCATTACCCGAGTGTTTAAACACTTAAGAACAGTTTAGAGGAGGGAGAGGAGGTGGTGGGAGAGAAAGAGGAGGAGTGAAAAAACACTCACGAGCAATGAGCAGTTCGACATTAACTCTGCATCACTCAGGGGAGCTGTAAGGTCTGCTCTGTAAGCGAAATGAAGTCAATAAATAAATGTGGCTGTTGTCAGATGTCTGGAACAGCATGAGAGGGTTTCAGCCCACCATGCTGAAATGAAGGGTGATAAGTTTGGGCCGCCCCGCAGAATTAGAGCCTACAACTTGCTGAGTGCCGTTGACTAATGAGGGCGGGTTCGCTGAATGATAAATTGAAAAAAACGAAAGGAGTGTTTGATCTGCACCAAACCGCAGTTTGTTAGGAGTCACAGCGCCTCCTCAGAACCATCACAAAACGTAGAAGGTTTATTTTTTAATGCAGATTCAACATGAGCTGCCTGTGATACCGCTGCTCTCCCTCAGAGGCCTGCTTTCTCAGCCATCAATCGAGACCACAGAGTGACAACAAACAGCAGGAAGAAAAGAAGCTGTCAATGGGTTGATCAAGCTGTGTCTGCTTTATTTTATGTCTTTGGATTGATATACTCTCAGGGATGAAAAGACAGCCCGGTCAGCCCTACAGGCAGGGGTGTGTCTAGACTTTTTTGACTCGGGGGGGCCCAGCAGACTGACTCTTGACAACTTTTAGTCAGGCTGTCCTCCACATGTTCTCTCTCTGACCTGAGATGGGCAGGCAGATGGACAGTTATTCCTGTCTAAGCCGGTGTAAGTAACCTGCAGGCTGGGGTAGAGGCCAGGTGACATGATGAGATACAACAGAGTCTTATTTTTTCTTTATTTGTTCTTTATCTATTTCAGGCCATGAGAAACAGCTGCTAATGCAAGGGGTTAGGGTTACAAGTTACTTTAATTAGGCCTATTGTTATTTTTTTTAATTATTTAAAGGCATGGTTGACGATTGAAGAGATTGGTAATTATTATGAACCTCGTTTATATGGTGATCATGGTCCTATAGTGCGATCTCCACAAAGTGAAAAGAAAAAAGAACTGAAAAAATTCATTCACCCTATCAGCTGCAGGGTTGCAAAAACCTTGACCAATGGGAGCCATCCCCCCCGGACAGCTCCTATTGGTCAATCTCCTGCTCTGCCTCTCCATCCAATCACCTCTCCTGTAGTTCTGACTGGTCCCCTCCCACTCTCCCAGCCGCAATTTTTTGTTTTTTTGTAGGATGGTAGGGGAAGGTCCCGCCCTCCTATGCCTCTGATTGGCTAGAAGTGCTGGGCTCCTATTGGTTATTCCTAATGGCTGTGAAACGTCATCGTCTGTCCAGTTATGGGTTAGGAGATTCAGAAGTGCAATAATGTTCTGTTCGATGTACAGAGCTGACAGCCTGCGTTTAGCTTGAGCGTGTGATGATGTTTCCAGCTTTTCTAGCCAATCAGAGGTAAAGGAGGCGGGACCTTCCCCTACCATCCTACAAAAAAAATATCGCCTCCTGGCGCTCCTTGGAGCTCTGAGCGACTAAAAGTAGCGTAGCAGCTTAGCTGCAGGAGCTGTGAGGGAGAAAGATGCAAAAAAAAACAAAAAAACTTTTGCTTGCCCTACCGCCAAAAGTGCTAAGAAAACGCAAGCCAACAGAAGAAAGGGTGGAGTCGAAGAGGAAATGTGACTAAGCGAGGAATCTAACTCGAATAAATATCAGGTCATCCTTGTAGCGGTGGAGAAAGCTCCGCCAGGATTTGGGCCTGAAGACAGACGCTGAGACAGCAGAGTTTTTGTTGAACAGGTAATTCTTGCCTTTTATCGTGGCACATGTTACATAAATAACTCTTATTAGTCTCTGCAGTGTCAACACGGTAGCTGTCCAGGCAGCTGCAGATGGTGCTTGCGCAAGCCGACAGAAGAAAGAGCAAAGTCGAAGAGGAAATGTGACCAAGCAAGGAATCTAACTCGAATAAACATCGGGTCATCCTTCGAGCGGTGAAGAAAGCTCCGCCAAGCAAAATTTTTGTGGGTGACTAGCATGAGGTGCTCTCTTCAGCTGCCTATATGGCGTATGTCAAAGCCGGCCCTACGATCAGACATAGTTGGGGTGCAGTTGCTCCTCAGGCTTTCTCTGCAGCTGTGCCCACCCTCATTGTTCCCCACTCACACAGAAGCTCACGTTTTCGCCGCAAGGTCAAGAGGTAGAGTGCCAAACTCCTTAGTGCGGATTGATCTGATATGACGCGTGTGATCAGGTTGTCCTTGGCATTGTTTTTGCAGTTGAGAATTACTGCTCTGTTGTTATGAGGTTTTGGCTAATCAGAATCAAGGATTTAAGCCAGCCGGTTAATAATGTAAAAGAGAGTAGGTCTGCCACTCAGGTCAGCAGTTAACCAGATAAGTTGAAGAAAAAACTCCTTTTGCTTCTCATTACGTTCCCTGGCTTTCTAAGTCCTCTGTTCTAAGTTGCAACACAAAGTGTCTTTGGTGTGAATTTGTCAATTGAGTTACACTAATTGAACTGAAATGAATTAAATGTAATTGATGGGTATCAGCCCAGTACAGCTGTACGACTGATATTACACCAGTGACTCAGTCGACGTAATGACGGATGAGCCCACCCAACAACGGAATGCAAAGCCCATTATTGTGTGAGTGCTTTTAATTTGGTAACAAATCTCTACTTCCTACAATAAACAGAGACCAGCATGTGGTCTATTCATATGTTAAGAATCACCATAATCAAGACCAAGACTTTTTCTGCTTCAAATAGGAAACAGGGCTAGTGTCTCAGTTTGACAGAAGAACAATGCTAAAAGTCATAATTTCACATTTCTGGGGATGCCAGTGTTGAATTTCTCAGACATTCTGAGAAGAAAACCAACACCAGTACCAACTTAGTTTGGCATGAAGAGCGGTAAGAGGCGGAAACAGGCTGGTTTTGTTCAAGGGTGACAAAATTCACAAACAAACTCCACAGAACTCTTCCTTCTGTTTTGAGTATGAGTATTAGTATTGGTCCAAAATTCATGAATATTACGAGAATAAGGTCTCAAGAGAATTCAGTTGCGGTGCTGTGAAATGAGGGTCAGAAATATTCTGAGAATAACAAAGTGATTAAAAAAGTCATGTAAAAACTCAAGTTGCTGTATTATAAGAAATAGGTTGTTTTTTTTGTTGTTGTTGTTTTTTTTTTTTTTTAGGAAGAAATTGTCATGGTTAATCTGTATGTAGACTAAAAATACTTTGTGATGTTACAAGAGCAGCCACCTGAGGAACATGAATAACCTGAGGACAAGCTGCCTGTTTGCTCACCTGGTTTTATATAAACCTCAGTTTCCTCAGAATCTTGATACTCATGACACCGTGGTTCTGATATGCTGAAAAAGGAAGTGTTTATTTTTTTTAATTAAACATATTTGAGAATCACTCAATGCTTCTCATTCGTCATTACCATTCAGGCAGTTGGCTGCTCCTCTAATCTGTAGAAGTATTAGGGCCACACTCAAGAAAAGAAAACACTCTCAGAGATTAAGATTTAATTTTAGATTGACACATTTTTTTCAGACATTTTCTCACGAGAATAAAAAGCTGTTAACTTGATCTACGATTAGCAGCATAATAGTGTTTTGAAAGTTGAATGTATGATTTATCTTGTGTATCACTGGAACTTTTCCAGAAAACTATCAACTGCACATCTCTGTTGGCAAGATATATATATTTTCTATTTGCTACAATCAATACATGACAATTGAAAATCTGTTAATCTGTTTATCACACTGAAGCTTGTTGTTCCAGATAAAGTTTGGTCCACTCACGAGGTCTTCAGAGAGAAATGAGTCTGCAGCAGCCTGTTTGACCACTAAATAAATAAGCTCTTTTTATCTTTTATATTGTTAAATAGATATTTTTATTTTTATCTCAAGTATCTTCACAATATAAAATAGCTGACACCTTGATGTTTCTCTTCTTTGGTGCACATGTTGTTTGATAATCTGTTTGTTTGTTTATTGACATACTGAAGGAGTTATGTCCAAAATCTCAGTAAACACACTAGTTTAAATAAGAAATCCAGATATTTGGACCACTTTTTAAGCGTCTTTAGCCTCTCTTTGAGCTCTCACACTGGAGTGTGCTGCAGGGATGACATATTTCTGTGGCAAGTCATGAGCCTCTGTTTCCTCAACAAAAAGCTAATGGGATTTTCTTGGATTTGGGATTGTTGCAGAAATAAGCTCTGTTGCAAACAAAACTTTAATAGACTCATATTATGTTAAGTAAGCTTATTTACACACATGAACATTTTTTTTTACATTACTGTTAAAGCTCTCAGGAGAAATTTAAGTTTGTGTTGATTTTGGCACCCCCCTGTGGACAAAGTGATATCTCTTATCCTTTCTCTATAACTCTCCGGTATCTCATGTAAGTTGTGATTGCTGAAAAAACAACAACATCAACTTAGGACATACAATACCTGCCTAGGATGGACACATAACATCTTTGCCACAGTGTTAACAGGCAAAGGTGAACTGTGGCAGAACATTTTTGCAAAGATTTAATTTATCTTTTTGTGTGTGTGTTTTTAAATAAAAATCTTATTTTAACTGGGTTGACCAATCAAATTGAGTCTTGTAAAATAAGCCTCATGACAAATCTGAAGGAGTTAAAGTTTGTGTTTGTTTTGGCGCTCCCTGTGGACAAAAGTCTCCCTTTTCTCTGCTTTTTTAATCTTGTGTATTCATGCTAATGAGAAATAAAACAGGAAAAAAAATGTTTACACAAACATATTTCAATGATCAGAAGAATATTTTCAAGATGCAAATATTTTTAAATTTTTGTGTTTTGTGATTCTTTTTGTGTGGCTTATGAAATGATTTTGTATTTCTTGTCTTTCATGACTTCTTTTGTGTTTCGTGGAATATATTTAGTGTTTTGAGAAAATCTGTGTTTGTGACATTTGTGATTTTTCAAGTATTTTATGTTTTATGGAGAAATTGGGGCTTTAAGAAATATGTTGCGTCTCATAAAATTGTTCCTGCGTTGTCTGCAATATATTTTTTTGTACTTTAAAATTAAGTTTTAGGGTTTCATTAGATCATTTTATGGCTCATAAATATGTTTGTCTGTTTGTGGAAAAAAAGTTCTGACTTGAAATATTTTTTCAAATGTTTGTAGCGCACCAGGATTTTTTTGTGCCATAAGATGTTTGTGCAATTATCCTTGAGGGCCACCGTACTGAGATAATGTTTTAATGTTTGCTTTTCCATCTCCTCTTGGAGATTTTTATCTCAAGGAATTTGACCATAAAAGAGAAGTTATGTGACTTTTTTTAGCCAACCTAGTTTGATAAAAGGTTGAGTGTTTTTATAGGCTCAGTATAAATCACATTAACTTGAAAAAGAAGAGTAGACATTATTGGCATCATTTCATTAAAATAATTGTTGGTGGCTGCAGCTTATATTACCCAACAGTTATTATCGCATTGCTCTCCTCTGCTTCTTGGGGATCATCATGTTTTTCTTTTTTCCTCTGATTGAATTGAGGCCATGTTTCTCTCTACTCTTCGTCGCTGCTTCTTTCACAGAACGCCTTCAACTCAGCAGCTTTTTCAAATTTGGGGCTTGCGACACTCAGCCAAAAGCCGCAAATTACCCCCCTCTAGCAGCAGCGAATTAGGAACAATTTTGTGTTAGCTATAAAAAAAGAGAGAGAGCGAGAGAAGTGAGGGGAAAATATAGCTTACACCAGGGACCACCAACAGAGGCAACATGGGATGAACGGCTCGTTGGCCGACAGTTTGGGTGGCAGGGCGGTGCTAGAAAGCAGCCTCAGTGATCTTCACAGCAATCAGTCCCATCATATCACATCTACATAATACAGCACAACATCCATTACCAAACACAAAAGCCTGGATAAGTGGATTTATGTTGCTGTTACAGGATGTTTGCAGGCCTATGAATTGGCTTAACAGTTCCCTGAGCACACACAGACCTGCAGCAATGATTAAAAAAGGAAGGCTTGCCCTCTCAGCACCCAGTTTTATTCACTCTTGCGACACTTAAGAAAAAGATCTGTATTAAGTGACAAATCACCGCCTGAAATTTTCATTCTCCCCTTGTCTAAGAGGGTGGGATTTTTTGATTTCCCCCTGCTATGCGGTTGGTCCTTCACTAATGTTAAAAAGGGTCTTTTTTTCTTGCTCCTGACAAAGCGTGAGGTTTGGCATGCCCACTTAATCTGCTTTCGTTGAGCCAATCCATGTTTTTCCCATTCTGGCACCCCACTCTACTCCCTTTTAAAACCCATTTCCAAGTTGTAATATGCCACTGCAGACGTTATTGAGGGGAGAAAACCAAATGTTCAAGGGGGGGATAAGGAGAGAAAGTGCAGACAGAGAGACAGAGAGGTAGAAAGGCAGGTTTCCAGCTCTGACCTGGATAGTTTTCAAATGTCCCCATTGCCTGGTGAGGAAAGCAGACCACTTTGTCTTCCATGTTGGGGTTACTGACTCTCATTAGGCTCTACACAAAGTGCCATACAGGCTTCAGACTGTATGACTGTAACAGGATCCTACACAGTTACAGTCTGACCCCTCTTTGACACATCTTGCCCCAGATGTTAATTGTACTTCCTGCTCTCCCTTTGATTAAAAGACAGAAGGTTTTAAGTCTTTGTTTGCTCGGCTAATGGCTCTCATTTAGAGCAATAAGTGGTTTTGGGGGCTGCTGTGGGTGACATCACACTAACGCTGCGTTTGATCTGAGGTAAAGGGTGAACCTCTCTCTCTGTGGTTGCACTCGATGTACCTGCACGTGTTGGTGAAGGGGAACCAAAGCAGCAACCTCCAGTTATGAGAGCAGAAGTTAGTGCAGAGGCAAGGCTCAAAACTGCAGTTCCTCATGTCGCCACTGGAGACAGACTCCAAAAAGAAGTCGGTCTCCTATAGAACAAATACTGTATTTACAGCAGATTACATAATGTCTCCAGCAGGGTAGAAAAATATGTATGTAAGTTTTTTATCTGAATTTAAAGTCAATGAAATTTACTTTCTTTTCATGAATATGTTGTTTGTGCCTTTGGGGATTTTTCATATTAAAAGGTGGGGCAGGCAGGATTCCATTAAAGAAGCATATTTTTTTTGTGGTGTATATACAAAAAAGTTTTTAATTTCAGTCAATTGCTGATAGTTATTGATGACATTTGGTAATATAACAATATCGCTGTGTTTTGTCATGTCTGTGTAGTCAACATTTTTACAGTTTTTGAGCGGCCCGCTCTTTTTGACCGTAAACAAAGCCGTTCACCGCCTCCCCCAACCTGATTGGTTGTGAGGCGGACACTGGTCCTTAGTGCTGATTGGTTATGAGGCAGATGATGCTCCCTTGTGTTGTGAGGCAGGCCCCTCATCCTCCAATAACGTGCACGAGCCCAAACAAAGTTAGCGAGCTAGAACATAGGACAGTGGAAACCAACCAGAAAATATGGAAAACACAAGCAATGCCAACAGACTACCAGCAAACACAATGTTTGCTGGTAGTCTGTTGGCATTGCTTGTGTTGGCATCTACAGTAGCGCCAATGCTTTTTACTTTCACGTTGACTGGGCCCCATTTGTAATTATCTGATTTATCTGCATTATATCTGATTTTAATGAAACGATACGAGTGAGCAGGTGTGTCTGTTTGTGGGCGGGGCTTGCTGGAGCAGAGATGGAGGGGAGAGGAGGAGCTGAGGGGAAAACTGGTCTGGAGGGGTAGTGTTAACATTCAAGATTTCTCCTGCCTACCCCACCTTTAATATCACACAAGTATTTTTTTCATTTTACACGGTTTATTTGAATGAACTCACCTCTAAAAATTCTGTGCGCCATTTTTTTGCCCGTTTGAAGATCTAGTATTATTGTATTGACATATTGGCACATATTAGCTGGTATCAGTTTCAGCCTAACTCATTCTTGGATGTTAAGCCCGTTTAGAGTTTCTGATACATTATTATTATGCATGGCAGTCATGATTGAAGTTTACTTTGCCCTGCAGAGACGACAGTGGGCTGCAGTAAGGAGAACTCTGGTTATATTAGGTTACATGGTTGCTGTCGTTTAGCCTCTCCTTTGCAGAGATTTGGCTGAGCGAACAGCGAGTCTGCTTCATACCACGAGGTTTTTTAGCCTCTTTGGTTTGGTAAATAAACCACTCAGGTCAGTTACCGCCATAAATAGCCTACAAATCCAATCCGCTTGGAAATAAGTGAACAAGCTAATTAGCCAGCCCAAAAATGTAGACACAGACAGCATAGCTTCTCCAGTTCCACCCTCAGCTTCAAATATGGTCATCTCTGGCTCCTAAAAAACCAACATGGTGGCACGCAGAAGGCCCCAGAAAGGTAGTCATTGAAGTTATGAGTTATACAAGTGGCTACATTCATTTTTATACGCTAAAGAAAAAAGAAAGAGCTTAGCTTCACGGCAGAGTGAGGGCATAAGGTTGCCAGCCGGGGAAAAGTATTGCATCAGGAAGGATATAAATGAAGAGCAGCAAGAGGTGGAGGAGGGAGGGGGCGTAGAGACCGAGTGCCCACCCGAGGAAATTCAGATTGGCTGCTTCGAAGGCTCTTTTAGAAACAGATGTTGTAAAGAGGAGGATGCATCTGCTTTAAAAATCTCAAACACAGCTAAGGATTTTCTGGAGATGCCTGATGGAGCGGTGCATTTCCTCCAGAAACCAGGCTCGCTCTGAGGGTAAGAGGAGAATGTCTCAGAGGTTTCACATACTTTGGTTTATCTGGAGAGTTATTAGAACATAATGTTCAAGATTAGCACAAAGATTTTGCAGAAGTAGGAAGAATATTTCTGGTTCTCTTAGATCATCTGCATGCGTTTTAGTGTTTGCTTTCAGTTGCTGGTGTTTGTTTTTGTCTTTTGACCTTTTTGTTCCGCCGTCTTTGCCACTTTTCATCTTGATTTTATTGTCCCCTCTGCCCTCAGCTGCAGATCTCTGCTCTCTCTCTCTCTCTCTTTATTTTCTCCTACTCCCACTGAGCGCGTGGCTGAGGTGTGAGATCATTCTCCTTCTGGGTGGCTTTCCTGCTATATGTCACTGTCATCTGTTGGCACTGAGGCTTGAGGGGGGGTCCCTCTTTTCCAAAAACACACCGCACTCCGCTTCGCCACCCTGAGAATAATAAATTCTTGGGCACGAGACTAGAGAAGGGTGCACCAGCGGAGCAGAGTGTGTTTTACTGGTCTTGGCAGGCTAACACATGGACCGGTGAGAGAGGGAGAGCAGGGAGGGAGTCAGGGGGGCACAGCAGAAGAAGGGTGGAAGATTTATAATTGAATAACTCCCCAAAAGCAGGGCAGCGGGGATCACCTCTGCCAGGAAAAGCAAACGCCAAGGAGCGAGCGAGGCCTGTGGAAGTGAGCCATTAAAGCAAGAGGAGAGAAAAACCTCGGCGGTGATCAGCCTCAGCAGAGAGGTGCAAGGTTTATGAATGATAACTGAAAAACCACAACACCTGAACCACCATGATCAACCAGCTCATAATCTATCGCTGCACAAATCCACCTCATGTCAACTTGGATGCCCAGGATGCCAAACTCTTAGTCAAAACATGACACAAAAAGCTCAGGCCGGATCAAGTGTACAAAATGCATCTAAATTTGCAAGTAATTTTACTTTATAGACATCATTTCCACGCTGAAAAATAACAAAGCAGAAAAGCTAAAAACATTACAGTGGGGCTGTATTGATCCATATGTGGCTAAGCACACATGTGTAGAAGGCCTCTCACAATCCACAGAGGTTGTTTTGATCCAAATGCTCCCCGACACGAGGACACCCATTGTTTAACGTTTTTTACTGCGCTGTGTAAACTTAATCCAAATCCCATGGGTGCTGACTAGAATGACTGTGTGTGGTGAGCTTTAAAGCACAACATATGGGCAACCATTTCAGCGGGAGTACTGGTGCTATACATACTTAAAGTTGTTTCCATTTGGTGATTAAAACGACCCAAAACCATGATGTAAAGTAAAAAAAAAACCTGTCAAATCCTATTCTAGGCTGTTTTTTTCCTCTTTCTTTTTTGTATTTTTTATTTTATTTTATTTTATTTTTTTCGTGTGTGAAAGGCTTGTTTCTGATTAGTTAAAACCTCACGATAATTATTAATACTCAATGGCAAAAGGTACACAAGGGTGAGTCTGATCATATCAATCCAATCAGTGCAAAGAAGTCGGGCACACTTCACCTCTGTTGGCAAAAATGTTAGTGTCTGCCTCACGCTGGTCTTGAGAGTCGGGAAATAATGAAAGCTAACAAGCGTGGATGTGAGTGCAGCCTTAGGAACTACGGCATCCCAAACATCCCGACCAAGGAAGCAACATCCTGTCCTGCGATCCGTGCACTGGCTGCAGAGCAGGTGAGAGCATCTTTAACTTACTGATCACTACAAAGGAGCTTAAACCATATGCGGTCGTGGTAGTAGCATCTATATTAAAAATTTAATTTTCTGTTTAATGATAATTTGTCCTTCAAGTAAGCCAATCAGAATCCTGAGCTATGTGAGTTTGACCTACCATGGTGCCAATTGGGAATGCCGTCTTTTTTAGTGGTATTTAGTAATAATTTTACAATCAATAAAATCATATTTAAACAAACTATTTTTTGATGTTTATCTTTTTAAATAATATTAATAATGCATCAGATTTCATATATCGCTTTATCAGAGACCCTTAAAGCACTTTACATTGGGTACATCATTCGATCGCTCACACAGTCACACTTTGGTGGTGGTAAACTACTGTAGTAGTCACAGCTGTCCTGGGGCAGACTGATGGAAACGTGGCTGCCAGTTTGCATCTACGGCCTCTACACAACACTCACAATCATACACCAGTGGAGGACACACACTGGGAGCAAGGTGGGTTAAGTGTCTTGCCCAAGGACACAACAGACAGACTTAGGATATGGAGGAGTCGAACCGCCAACCTTCCGGTTATTGGACGACTGCGTTAGGAGGGTATTGAGTCATGACACACAATCCCTGATTTCCTTACCTGTTGATTGCTTTGAGTCGGGGTTCTGCTCACTCTGTCTGGATTTGAATTTGCTTCTGTGACAGCAGTGTCTAAAAACATTATGGGAGGTCAAGCCTTCAGCTATCACGCCTCTCTCCTTCGAAATTATCCACCAGTTTAGGTCAGCGATGAGAGTGAACTCAAAACTGTTGCCCAAATTCGCTTTGGAATTGCCCCAAGTTACCCTTCCATAGGCTTAGATTGTCTTTCTGTCATTCCTTCTATCCTACTTTCTTCAGTTATCCCGGGGCAGAAGTGTCTAAAACCTTTTTATTTTTAGTTATCAGGCCCCTCTCCTTCGAAATCATTGACCACTCTGGGCGCAGGAGAGAAACACCCTCTCTACTGTCGGGAAGAGGCCTTTAGATATAGGTTTTAGTGGAGACTGCCTTACACTTGCCTGGATTGTGACTACACCATAACAGAGTTAATATCAAACAGTAGTCAGTGACTGTTTTAGATATGATATGCTGTCACTAAGGAGATAGAAAAATGTGTTTTCATTCAGAAAAGATAATTGGCTAATGCTGATATCATGCCAATTATTTTAAAATGCCATTCATTGGTCCAATTAATCCATTTATTGATCTATCTCTAGTCTATCTCTTAAGAGACCAAACGTTAATCCACCAGTAAATACCTTTTTGCAGCGGTTTCTTGAAAAACTTCCTTTTCTCAGGCAGAAACCTTGAGCAGGACCAGAGACATCCATCCATGAATGACCATCTGCCTTGCTGGAATAGAAGAGAGAGCAAGAGTTCGGACTCTAATCCCGGGCGATACTGATGCTTGAAGTTTTAATGGCAGCCTCATAACTCCAAAGACTAAATAGCAGCTGGATGTAAGACGGGGAAAATATTTAAGGGGAATTTATTCCAAATGAAGCATTTCACAAAAAAATCACAGACAGATTGTTTTTCTTTTTCCTGGCTGAACTTGCAGGTTTTCTCCCAGAATGCATCTATCCTCTTTCTCTGACTTTGACATCTTTGTCGTGGCATGAGGTGGGGCGCTGGATGAATGAGTTTATCTTGAATTTTTGGCAAAGAGGCGAGTAAAAGCAGAGGTTCGGCATGAATGGAGTTCTGACGGAGGGGAGAGAGCAGAGCCACATCAGAGGAGGATATGAGCTGGAACAACTCATCTCTGATAATCCATGAAGAGGTGAACAGACCCCTTTTAAAACACACTTTTCCCTTTTTTCATTCCTGATTTGACTTTGATTTTTTAACCTCATCAGCCGTTTCTATTTCTGAATTTTTGCCTGAATTTAATAGGCATTTATACGCTTTTAAAACCTGATAACTTTTCAACTTGTTGGTTTCATTTTCCAGCCTTTAAGATTCACAATGTCTAACAGATTTTGAGGAGAAAAGACATCCATTCATCCTACCCACTTTAGCGATAGATCTCTTTAATATGGCATGAAAATCGTACTCTGTGGTGACATGTTCAACTTGGGACACCCAGTCCCCTTGTGACAAATTCTCAGCGACTTTACAGATCACATGACAGAGGAAAGGTTGATTTAAAAAATGTCTGGATCAAAAAAAAGAGAGAAAAGAAAAGGAAACTCTTGCTGTTAATCATTAAAGTAAGGAGCTTAGTGTGGACTTAATAAAGCATGTCACACTGAGTGACGCACAAAGTGGAAAAAAGCAAAGTTAAAGGGAGTTGAAACAGAGTGCAGGCAACTTTTACCTCTTTTAAGATGGAAAGTTGATGTGCGCACGTACACACACACACACACACACACACACACACACACACACACACACACACACACACACGTACACACATACACACACACACGTACACACACACGAGCCCAGGGTGTCTGACTTGCTTATTTTATCAGGTGCAAAGACTTCTCCCCCCTTGCATAAACCCACCCGCCCTCCCCCTTCTTAACTGTCTGCAGATCAGACTCTGCAATCGTGTTTGTCGGCTTCACTTTCTGCAAAGATTACTCCTTTTTTCTTTTTTTTGTCTTTCATTATTCTGCAACCACATACAAGTGTCTGTGCTAAAAATGTGACCCACAGTCACATGTGAGACTTTCAAATCCACCAAAGTGTAGCTTCGTGTGTATTTTGACAACTTAAATCAAAAGAAAAACATATAAGTTCAGCTGTGTATTTGACTTTCTGATCAGATAAGCTCTAATAGCACGAGGGCTGCGGTATTTGATACGAATCTTCTGTTTAACCGCAGCTCAGCTGCACTGTTTCAGATTAGCTGCACAAATATTAGACATTTGGTTTTACCTTAAAAAAAAGGAAACCTCAGAACAGATTGGATTAAACCTGAGCATTAGAAAGTTCAAATGTATGAAAAGAGGGTAGGAATTAAGTGAGAGAAAGTGTTTCCTTCTGCACAGCTCTCCATCAGGGGTAGTTTTTGTGATTTGTTGGGTGCCACACTGAGCTGAAGGAGTGAGCGTGCAGCCCCGTCGAACAGCTTCAGCTCGGTGATTCATCTAAAGCAGACTCAGAATAGATTTAAATAAATACCTCCATGCTCTGAAACCAGGAGTTATTTAACTGCTGTCATCCTCGCTGTGGAGCAGAGCAGCGTCTTCTTAAATGAGGGAGACAGAAAAAATAAATCAGATCATCTGAATTAGGAGCTCAGAGAGGAGGGTGGAAAGTTCTTGGGCTGATTCAGTGATCGTGTATATTTGCTCAAGGTTACAGTTGTAGATCACAATTTAATTCTGCAGAACTTTTAAAAACCTTTAAATGGTAAAAAGAGGAAACAATAACCAGTCGCTAAGGAGTTCCCAAACTCTCAAACTAACAGTTCCAGAGACTGGTGACCTCCACTGTCCTCCATGTGGTTAAGTTTAGCACACACACAACACTGAAAAGCCAATCCAGGGACTAACTCAACAACAACAACACAAAAGAAAACAACCAGGACATTAATCAGGGGTCGACTGATTATCAACCTGGCCGATTATCAGGGCCGATATCCGCATTTAACTGATTAAGTGTTTCAGTGTTTTGATTTGCTGATTAAATGTATTAATCGGTAGCAGAGCACCTAACATGTGCTTTCCCTCTCAGTGTGTTGTTCAACTTTAACTCACCTTATGTCCTGCAGTCCGTTATACGGGCACAGAGAGTGTCAGCAAGGTGGGAACTGTGGAAAAAGCAACAGAAAACTCCAATCGTTTCTGCTGTAAATGGAAATTGGTGAAAATATTGGCTGACAGTCTCAGGAGGTACTCATAATCAGCACTGATATTGGTATTGGTATCGGCACTTACAACCAATATCAGTGAACCCTTGATATTAATGTATATTATTTTTAAAAGATGAAACCATGTTCACTATTAATGCAAATTGGTACCACACATTGATAAACAATCTCACCGCCTACTAATAATTAATATTGGTATTGGTATCTGCACTGAAAAACTAATATCAGTTAAACCCTTTACATCCATTTATATTCACTTTGGAGATTTGGAACCACTTTGACTTTAAATATTAGTGCAAATGTAAATGTTGGTTAACAGTCTCACAAATCTGTAATAATCACTATTGCTTTTTGGTATTGGTTTTTCTGAACCAGTATCAGCACTGATATTATCAATCAAGTCCTTATGTTGTAAACTCCATTAATTTTTAAAAGCTGGAACCATTTTGGTCATAAATACATATAATACCAAATATTGGTAATCAATGTCATGAACTACGTAATATCAGCACTGGTATTAGTATTGTTTTCTGTACTGACACCAAAAAACAAATATCAGTCAACCCCTGATATTAATTTCCATTTTTAAAAGCTAAAACTATGTTTGCTGTAGAGGTATATTGTATAAAATACTGGTTAACAGTCCCACAAACTAGTAATCAATATTGGTATCAGTACTGGAAAACCAATATCAGTCAACTCCTAGTATGAACTCTTTTTTTTTTTTTTTGATGGCTGGAACTATTTTTGCTGTAAATGCGATTTGGTGATATTGGTTATCAGTTTCATCAACTTTTTAATAAGTACTTGCACCGGCACCAGAAAAACAATATCAGTCTAAAACTAATATTAATTATTTATTCTTATTCTTATCTTAATGTGGAATCATGTCGATTTTACATGCAAATTGGTACCAAATATCGATAATCACTCCCATATACTATTACTCAGTTATGGTACTGGTATATGTATAGGCACGGAAAAAACACTGACAGTCACCCCCTGATATTTATTTAGATTGATCCGTTTTGGTATTGACATCAGAGTTTGTACTTGTACTGAAAAAAAAACATAATATGACCTGTAAAAATATTGCATTATATTTGGAAAACTTGTGTCTATACTGCAGCATCGTTAGGAAATACAGTGTGTGAGGCTATGATAGTCTGTGTGCATCTGATTCACCTTCTTGAACCTGAAAATCTCAATTTGACAGTTCTGCAGAACATCTGACTAAATGCACGTGTGCCGCTGTGTTTCTTATGCCTCTATAAATCAACCTGCTGCTACAGATGTCCTCATTTTTCTTTCCTTATCACCTCAGGGGTCAAAAAAGAAGCAGAAAACTGATGACACATTTTAATTTGTGTGTCTCTATTTAGAAGTTGATAATTATTTTGTGTGTAATTATTACACATATTCATACAAAAATAGATCACAAATGCATTTTCATTTTTTTCTGGACAGTATCGTGTAACCCCTCACATTAGCGTCCCATGACCCCTGGGTGGTCTCAACTCCCATTTTAGGAGACCACTGGTTTAGTTTAGGGATTCATGATAATGTTGACATTCAATATCCAAAATTTTTTATCTAATTTTGGCCAATACTGATATCAATATCTATGTATACTACACAACTTTTTTATTGTACAAAACACAGAGTCTGTCCTGTATGAGAGTTTACTTGTTGCTCTTATTGTGAGAGTCTATTTCTTTCTGAAACAGACAGATGCAAGTGTCCTTTTTCTCACATGGACATTTAGTGATGTGAATAAATGGACCTCATAATAAATAGATCTGATGTGTTTTTTTAGCTCTTTTTTTGGTCTTCTGACCGATCAAAGCGCCTTCACAGTACATGTCACAGTCACACCGCCTTCACACACTGATGGCAGAGGCTGCTATGTAATGTGTCCATTAGTATTAACTAATCCCATTTACACCTCACTGGGCAAAGCTAGCGGGGGGAGTTGGGGTTAAATGTTTTGCCCGAGGACACTTCGGCATGAGGACAACTGGACTCGGGATCAAACCCTTGACCCTCAGACTGACAGATGAATGACTCTGAGTCACAGCCGCCCAGAATCTGTCTGTGTGTGACTCTCCAAAATACCTCCATGCAGCCGCTATGTTGAAGCTCTTTGCTGGCGTGAACAGTCGTCATGTGCTCAGAATTAATCCGTCACCTTATTGGCCATACATGTCAGCAGGAATTTTCATATCTGCCTACACTGATAATTTGCTGTTTGAGCTGTTATCTGACTATACTGATATTACACTGATGATATTGTGCCTCCCTCATTGACTTCTCTGAAATAAATAGTTGTATCAAACGTGACTCTGACTGACTTTCTCTCGCTGAAATCATAAGACACTACAGGATGATGTGGAACATTTCAGCCCTCTGGAAAATGAGTATGTATCTTCTCTTTAAAAACCCAACTATATACCAGAAATGACTAACTTGGAAAGGTTTGGCTCTTCACTCCGCATCAACAACTTGATGCACTTTTATGCCTTTGTAAGTCTGTGCAAAATATTGCATATACTCTGCATACAAGTGCAGATGTGCTATGTATTCATGTATGCCGTTAAAAACACCATGATAGTCTCTTCGCTTCTTAGCTGTTGGTGCAAATTTCTATCCACATTTACTCATGAAGAGCATTTTGTCTCTGCAGCAATGTTGTTTGTGTGTAAAACTAAATTAAAAAAAACTGTGTGTTGCCTTTTAATACTGAATAACAGCATTGCATCCAATTGGACTTGCAGCAGTTTGTAGCACTTCTTCATGCCGTTTACTTCCGTTTGTTTGTGTTGTACTTACACCGCTGCCAAAATTTCAGTTTTAAGATTTTTTTTTTTTCCAAAGGTTAAAAACTAAACGGTCAAGGAAATAAAAAAAGATTTTTGACTTTTGTTTTTATGAAAGCATAAAACTGTGTTTTTGTCTTGTTTATTTTCGGGTCTGAAGTGTTTTGGGTCAGTTCTTTTCTTTTGTTTTGTTAAATTTTCAAACATTTTATGATGGTCGTGAATTTTCCATTTCAAACTTTGATCTAACGGTGAAAAAGGCTGAGCTGAAATAAATTTTCTATACAAAAAGAAAAAATGTTGATCACAACTTAGACTAAATGTTATCTTACTGTCCTATCGATGATGAAGTAAAGTATTTACTGACTGATTACGTGAAACCTGAGTCATGATTCAGAAGATGAACCATTTTTGTTGCAAATTTTACCTGCAGGGTCTGCAGGGAGGGAAGACTGGATACAGGGTTCAAAACTGAGCAGTAGAAGGAACATGCACCTTTGGAGTGACTTGCACTGAAGTATTGGAAACTGCAACTGAATGTCTGGTGTCTTGTAAAGCCATAAAGGTCGACTGACTAGTAAATCAAATCAAATCTAGCCAGTCTCAGTGTAATTTGGTTGTCATCTCTTTTTTTAATACTTAAGTGTTTTTGACTTTTACATCTACACCTTCTGTGAGATTTTGCAGCTTCTAGTGGGTTCTGAATATTACGACACCCAAAAGAAACATTTTGTCACAATTACTATAAATTAAGTTTGGTTTTTAATTTAACTGTAAAACAGGAGCAAACTCTAAACATAAACTTCCTTCAGATTGACAAATATCACAAATGTACTTTCTGAAGACTGAAACTGTGACTGTAGGCCTATGTCGCTATGTCCTAAATAAAGAAGTTAAAGGACATTCTCTATGCTGATTTTTTTTAAGTATGTTTTTTTATATTACTTCAATAAATAAATAAATAAATAAATAAATACAGCTGATGCATCCTCTCTTTGCAAAAACAAAATCTTGACAGAAAGGAGAATCACTGCACACATAAAGTTAATTTAGTCCTTATGTTCCTGCAAACCTGGTGATGCTACAGGGCTGAAATGTGTTTGTGAGAAAATAAGGATGTAATAGAAAGAATAAGTAACTCAGCCTCATTCCGTTTAATGAATTTCCAAATTTTCTGTCAGGTTTGATGATTCCTGTTATCAACTGCACCGAGGAAAGGAAAACCTTCATCAGGAAGTTTTAAAGCTCGTTATTTCAAACATTGAGCTCCCTGAAATAAGAAACATATTAATGTGTGCTTGAATTGACATTATAAACAAGCACAAGGTGAACTCTTTTAACTGCATCACCCATTTTAAAAACGATCATAAAATCACTCATGTGGTTGAATTTTGAAGGCATATTTAAGAAATCATAAGAGGAGAGAGAATCCACGCTTATTTTACGCAAACAGCTGAGAGCTCTGTGATGCATTCAGAGGCAGATTTTTTTTCCAGAAACGGTATCAGCACACACACACACACACACACACACACACACACACACACACACACACACACACACACACACACACACACACACACACACACACACACGCAAACTGTTGGTTTTCACGCCGGTATCAGCGGGCTTGGATCGTGTTTTTACGCATTCAAATTTAAACCTTTTTTTCCCTTTAAAAATACAAATAAAAAATAATATCGAGTGAATGTTTTGAAAAATTACTCATTGGTTTCAATTTCTTTTGGAGATCATGAAAATTGTTGAATTTGGGCCTCAGGTATTTTTTTTAATTCATTTTGTGCCCATGTTTATACTTCAGTCTTGATTTCTTTTGCTGTCTCTGGCAAAATCTACTTTTATTTTCAACACATATTAGAGTCTTGCATGATTAAACTGGCGCAGAAAAAGCCCAACTACGTGCACAGAAGTAAAGACCTAAAGAAAAGCACAGTCTGCTCTTTCCTGAATTAAACGCTCCACCTCAGCCCATGTTTACAGAATACATCTGTACGCAAGCTTTAAATATTCACTTTTATTTTTCCAAAAGAAAAAGCCCAGGAAACTCGTCATTTAAATATCCAAACACAAAATGATATTCTGGATTAAATTTAAAAAAATTAAAAGCTCAAAGATTTTTTTAAGAGGAGGAGGAGGAGAGGTTGAAAATATTTACAACATTCCTGTAGAGCAGATTCTTCTGATTCCCATCGCTGTGAGTCTCTGCTTCAACTAGTCTCTGTTACCTGAGAAAAAAAAGTCAAAGTCCTGCCCGATGATTGTTTGACTATTCGTTGGTCCCAGTGCTGATGTGTTTGGGAAGCTCCACGGTGTCCCGCTGAGTCCGTAATTTCTGATACTCCTGGTGTAAACTGAGGAAGTGCGGGGACGCAGCGGGGTGGAAGAGCGCAGGGGACGCGTAGGCCACGCTGGAGGTGAGCGGGGGAGAGTAGGCAGTGCACTGAGCCGGGGAAAAGGCGTCCATGCCGGGCTGCGCCTGCAGGAACGCCTTGGCTGTGAGTGCGCTGCGGGAGAAGAAGCTGGAGAGCGCGGGCAGGATGCTACTGACAGGTGGGATGGTGGCGGGGCCGCAGGGAGAGGGTGCGTGGTGGTGGATGTAGGGGTATATCTCCAGGCTGGGCAGCTGGAGCCCGTAGGCGCCGTGCGGGAAGCCGTGCAGTCCGCTGGGCTCCAGGTGCTGCTCCTTCAGGGGATCAAAGCGGAAATGCTGCCGCTTGAAGCGCTTCCTGCGCCGCAGAAAACTCCCGTTCTCAAACATGTCCGAGGAGTTGGGGTCCAGGGTCCAGTAGTTTCCCTTACCGGGGTTCCCAGGCTCTCTGGGCATCTTTACGAAGCAGTCATTCAGCGACAGATTGTGTCGGATCGAGTTCTGCCAGGCGGGGAACTTCTCCCGGTAATAGGCGAAGCGGTGGCTGATGAAGTCGCAGATCTCGCTGAGGGTGAGCCGCTTCTTCGGACTCTGCAGGATGGCCATCGTGATCAGAGCGATGTAAGAGTACGGGGGCTTGACGGACGCGGGTCCTTTGCTTTTCGTCGGAGGACAGGCCGGCGCGGGGCTGAAGCTGTCCCGCTCCGAACTCAGGCTGCTGGAGGTCTCCTTGCTGCGCTCCTGCTCGCTCTGGGACTCATCCAGAGGTAAGAGCTGCTCCTCTCCGCTGTCCTTCACTCCTTCCCCTACTACGTCGATAACTATATCCTCCATGATGTCCAGACCCAATGTCATAGTAGAGATCCGCGGGTGAAGCCAACACCACCTGCCAACAGGTGGGGGAGTGACAGCCCTGCTCTCAACTGCGATCAACTGATTTTTACGCACGGCTCATTTCCATTCAGAAAAAAAAAAAAAACCTCAAACACAATCCTCCTCCTTCTTTTGAGGGAGCAGAGTGTTCAAACCACAATGCATCCACGCTTGAATCCTGTATTTGGGTTCCTTCAAAGCGCAAAACGGCGGTCAGCAGGCGATCGTGCGTAAAGCGTAAAAGTGTGTGCGTCCTCCGAGATGTCCAGCATCATCTGTAATCTCGGTTGCGTTCCTGCGGGTCGGGTGGATGTGATGTCACGTCGAAGCACCAGGAAGAAGAATCTGACCAATGAAAACGACTCAAAGGGTACCAAGCAGGTCCAGATACCAGCCTCCCCCCTGTGCGCTCTCATCATCAGCGCGGCGGTGCCAAGTAGACGAGGACGGCACAGATTCATTCATGAAAACATGCTGATGAGGAGGACATCAGAGGAGGAGCATTCTCAGAGTAGCTGGACTTTTTATAATAGAGATGTCAGATCGTGTAACAATGTACCATAAAAATTTTAAAGGAGCAAGAAAAAAACTTGGTTTAACGACAAAAAATGTGCTTTTCTCGGATCTTAGCACGTTTATTTTTGTTATTAATCTTGCTGAATCTTGCTTTATAAAGTCTTATTTTAAAAAAAAATTTAAAAAAATTAAATACATTTTGTTTGAGACCAGATTCAGTGTAAAAAGGTTATGAAATGTGTGCGTAAAATGCAACCCCTCATGAATATCGACAACAATGAAAACTGAAGACTGACACCAAAGCTGCACAATTTATCCACAATTGCAGCTGTGATTGAAATAATTGTACATAAGGGCCTAAAATAGATCTTAAAACAGTCCAAATAAGCTCGTGGGGCATCAGATCACTATCCTGAATATAAACACTGAGGTCAAAATCCCCCAAACACCTCTCTACGTGAGGCTGGGACTTAGGCTCTAATCCCCGCGGAGATTTCGGCAGCCGCTCTTTACGCGCACACTTGACGCACGATTGCACGTTTTCAGACGTTCAACTGAGGATAGAAGAGAAATGAGTGATTTTGTTCTGCTTCTTGCAAATAATAATTTACCGCCTGCGTGCACGGAGGCTGCCTCTTTGTGAATTTACAGGAGTTACAGCCAGACTTTGAGGGGGGAACATGGATAAATATGAGCATGTGTGAAACGAAGAAGAAACAATATTTGATTTGTTTAACCTGAGAGAAATCCACACCCTCTGTTCTCCTGACAAAATCCACTGTAATCCGGTCTGATTATCTTCTCTAATAATGGGCAGCTGAAGGCAGAGTGGTAATATCGGGATGAAAGTAATAGATTTTCACTTGCTCAGACATAAAAGAGCAGTGAGGAGAGGAGGGCGCTTTTGGTATTGTTGGGAGGCCTCTGGTTGTTTGTGTTTAATGATGGAGCCCTTTGTTGGGGATTCCCACATTTCCTGCCTCTAATCGTATTGATACCCTGGGGGAGAGGGGGTCCGGGTCCGGACTGGGTGGGCTATACGGTACCAGCAAAGCTGCAGATGATTTTCCAAATTCATCACGCATGTCTTCAGATTGGAAACAGGCCCGCGCGCGTTGTGTGGTTCCAATAAGGCGAGAGCAGGAGCGTCAAATCTCCCCACGAGCTGAAGGTATGGCACAGAGCGTGGACGTCTCCATCTGAAAGACATCAGGAATAAAAAGCAAGAGCTGTAGGGCGCACAAGGGAGTCATTTCGGGGGACAGACACCTCAGGACATCTTCTGTGGTCCGAGCACGTGCGTCTGGAGGGAAGCCCATTTCTGCCAGTATAAGAAAAAAGAGGGTGACTTAACAAGTAAAAAAGCTTTGTCAAAATGATGACATAGAGTCTGAAATTACAACATGAAAAAAATCAAGCTTATAAGTACAAAGTCAATTAATCAAGAAAGTCTAAATAATGTGATGAAGGTGAAAAAAAGTCAATAAAGAATAAATTACGATGATAAAATTATGAAATTAAAGTAAAATTAGGAGCACAAATTAGTCTGTCCGTGAAAAAATAAAAGATCAAAACACAATAGAATTGAATTATTAGATGAAGTCACAAACGTTAAATAAAAAGGCAAATTTATCTGATATTTAGTCATTAATGTGAATTACAAACTCTAAATAATGGGAAAAGGGTCCAAAAATCCTAAAATGCTATAACTCATGTTTATAAGATAAAATAGTCAGAATATTCGGTGAAAATATAGAGCAAAAAAGTCAAAATAGTAGGTTATTTAGTCATAACAATGAGATAAGTCATTTTTAAGGGCTAAAAAGTCTCAAGCTGGAGATAAAAACTCACAATTATGAGACAGTCCATCAATACTGAGAGAGGTTTAGTTGCTTTGGGATATTAAAACTGACATTATGAGATGTGAGGTCATAAAAAGCCCAAACATGCATTAAAAAGTTGGAAATAGGAGATAAAATCATGAGATATGAAGTCATAAAAAGAAGATAATAGTCTTCAGTTCAAGATAAGGTTATGTTACAATGAGAAAATTTGTCTTTCTAATAAGGTATCAGACCGTTATAAGATTTAACCCATTATTAATGTCTCAATCTTGTATATACCTTTTTTTTTATAAGTTTTCAAAATAATGAGAAATCTGGTTGCAATATGATGGAAGTCAGGGTGAGATTTTAAAAAGTTGTTTTTTCCAGAAATGTCATAATGAAGAGATATTAAAGTTCCAGTGAGAAGTTTTTTCACATTTACAAAGTCATCGGAAATTCACATCAACATCTTTTTATGACTTACAAAATGTGCAAGACCATCAACAAGACTGACTTTTTTTTGTTGTATCATTATATTTGATGCCAGAAATTGGAGTGAGGGGGTAGGTGTAAGCTGTACAGCTGAAGAAACAGCCCTATTTTTACAATTTACACAACAAAGAGCCTCAATAAAGGACACATTTGACCATCAAAGGTCTGTAGAATTTGACTTTGTCATAAAGAACTACTTAAGCACAGAAGACAAGATAAGTAGAAAACACTCTGCCAACAGAGGGCACCAAAATTTGCTCAAACGAAAAGTTCCTCATAGGAGCTTTAATTGAACTTTTAACTCATAATTTACTAATAATACTGACTTAACATTTAAATCATTATTATGGTAATCTCTCTCTCTAAAGACAGAAATAGCAATGTGTGAGTGCTTCCTAATGTTAAATTTACAGATACAACCTCACATTATTTTATGTCTGGACATTTTGCCACAATTAAAGCTGAGCAGCATTAATTCTGGGAACAGTCTGAGGATTTTTACTTGTTTTGTTTTAGTTTTTTTCTTTTTATAATAAAGGAAATGTGGAAATCAAAGCCATATTACCCTGAAGGCGCATTACGCACACACACTTTACTAAAAACAAATGTGCTATCTAACAAAAACGACCATTGTGGAGGTCTTATTTGTTCTGTATAGCATATGAAGAAGTGAGGGAGGACTCTCGTGTAATAACATCATTTGGCAGGATCCAAACAGGCCTGCGGGATCTCCTTGGATCATCCTGGATAAATGAACCTCCATCCGTGCGGGTCAGCTGCGGAGAGGGTTAGATGAAGCTGTTTCGGGCTTCTTCAGTTGAAATGTTTTCTTATCTCAGTGAAAAAAGAAAGCTGAAGCCCGCTCGCATGATTCAAGGAGTGCTGAAAAAAGCAGCGTGTTTTTCATTGGGAGCGGCTGAGATGGCTTCAAAGAGCTGAGGATGTTTGCACATAATCTCTCATCTTGATTCCCTTAAAATCTTGGCAGTGCAGTGGACAATAATATAACGTGTAATTTAAGGTATCATGAATCATAACTGCATGAAACAAAGTACGGAGAGGTGCTGCTGAGCCAGACACACATCTGAAACACACTCTCTCTCAAACATACACATGTGCGTTGTTTACAGACGGATAGGCTTCATGTGTAAATTTCACAAGCTGAACTGGTCATTAACACAATATTTACGAGCTGACAGACAGCTCTTTAACGTATAGTAAGTGATGCAACCTGTTCTCTGCATCCCATTATCTCACTGTACTCTTGTCTGTGACTACTTTCGTCTCGTCGTTGTGTTGTATGGAGTTATTTATGAGAAATGGCACAGCTGTAAGGAGTCCCATCAATCACACGACGACGACGACCATCCGACTCTAGGGCGACATCCTGTGGCGGGAAAGTGAAGCTCAGCTAACGGCTAACAGCTAATCTGCCTCATTGACGTGTTCTTTGAGAGGAAATAAAATATCACAAAAAATACCATGTACAGAAAGGTTAAATAAATAAATAAATAAATAAATAAATAGGAAGTTTGGTTCTTGAAACTGAAAAATGTTGGTGATGCTCACAGTGTTGACACTATTTTCTCTGCTTTCCAAATAGTGTAGCATTCTAAAAGTATCATTTAGCCTACTGATTCTTGGTTAAAAAGTTATTTAAAAGAAAGTTACTGATAAAAATAGGAGAATTTACCACTTAAACATCACGGTTGATAGCCCACAAGCCACCCTTAACACTTATGTTAGCAGCTAACATAGCCTAACGTTAGCTAACACTTCTCTAGCAGGGAATGTAGCCTTTCCAATCAATCTCTCAAGTGCTACAAGCTTAAACTGTTGTCTGTGAAGCTCCTGAAGGCCTGCAAAGGCCATATTTTTTACTCTTGTGTGCTGAAGATTAATATGGCCAGTGGTTGTGTACTTATTGCAATGTGTAATTAATTATAGCTATGAACACACACTTTTGGCTCCATCACACTGCTTACTCTGATAAAAACAGAACCATATTAGGTCTTACAGCCACTTTTGCAGTTGTGATGAGCTAAAGGAATAGCTTGAGAACAGAATGGTATAATTTAGGTAACTGTGGGATTGCACTGCTATTTGCCAAAGCTGAATGCTGTGCTAGTAGAGAGAAGTATAATGATGTGACCAGAAGTTACTTTATACTCAAGCCATAACATTATGAAAGTGATTGATATTAAACTCACAGGTTCTGTTAGACATGCAAAACTCTTTTATCATGAAAAATTGACCTAATTTTACATATTTAAGCTAAGATGAATCACAAATCAACACAACATAGGCAGTTCTCCAAACTCTGCCCAGCAAGGGCATTTATGTCGCAATACCTACTTGGTTCAGTGTCAGCCTTTTAAAAAATAACAACAGTACTCACAAAGAGAGGAAAACTACTGGCAAATATACGTGAAAATCCAGAGTGACACATTCAATATGCATGGCACACATTTCAAGTTCAAATTTTAAACTTGTAAACACAACAAGAATTTTGTAAACTGAGATTTTGATCAAATAAAAGACATCACTCTTGATTTTCTGACTAACCTTATTGCAGTTCTTGGTAAATGTAGCCTACTATCTTAGAATCAGACAAAAGTACCACAGTAAAATACTATTTGTGCTGTAAATATGGTCAGTCAATAGGCTTTTGGGATAATTAGCCTGACTTAAAGTTTAAAGCCTTTGTGAGGACCTTGTGTTGATTTCGGAGCCCCCCAGTGAACCCCTCTAATTTTGTCAATCTCATCCTCAACATGTGAAAGCAGTGTTTTCTATTAAATATTAATCATTTGATGTGGCACATACCCCTCAAAGCGGTGTCAGAAGTTTCAAAAGGTCAGTCTTGATGATGATCTCGTTTACTTTTGTGGGTCATAATGAGACGTCACCATGAATTTCAGTTTTTTATAACCAGTCAAAACCTCCTAAAAATGAATGTATGTTTTTGCATATGAAATTATGTAGGTTCAATTCAAGAAGGCACAGTATCTCAGAAATGAGAGGCGTATACACAAAAGTTTATAAAGACAAACCAGGATCAAATGAAACCTTATCCCCAGACGCTGGTTAAAGTACAACATAAAATAACTCATCAAATAGCCACCACAGTGTGTCAGGGGGAAATGTGTGTGAAATCAACAGCGGGAAGCTAATTATGCAATTTTGTTTTACAGTGCATTTACAATAAAATTTGCAGAGGGATTACAATTCATTACTGAGTGCTTAATTAAATGATGGAATTTCCTGCTCTAGGGGGATGTCAAGAGTTCCTAAATATGACCAGCAGAGGGAGCTCTTATCCCAATCATCCTCTAAATGTCTGGGGGGAGTTTTGGATTCTTATGAAGTTGTTGTGATGCTGCAAACTTATTTTATCAAAAGGCTTTCTTGTTATTTTCATATTTTATCAATGGTTGCCTTTTTATTTTTGCTCTTACTATAAAATGTTCCACTTTTATCACATTTTCCTTTCTGTTTTCATCATACATCATTGAATATTTTCCTGCTGAGTTTTGTTGGTCCATAAAGCACTATGTCATACTGGTTTTGATAGTGTCATATGAATGCTGTACTTTGGTTAGATAGCCCCACTACTTTGTCAACCCCCCCTCAGCGTATTTCAGTCTGTTTTGACACTAAAACTACAAAAAATGCCAAATGTTTGTGGAACACAGGGCAAAAGTTTCCAGCTTTATTTTGTTTTTTTTTGGACTTACAGCAGTGGTTTGTGTGCAGCGTCGTGTTGTGTCGTGTTGGCCCTCTGCTGCTGTCAGATGGAGCCTGAGGATGGAAGGAATGCAGATGTTGTTCTGGAGCCCAGCACATACCATACTGACTGGTTGTGGGGGGTTAAAGCACTAGCTGGAGGGAAGAGAGAAAGATATTAAACCACAGGGTGTAATGAGCAGTAAAAGGAGATGGACTCTGGTTTTACAAGCCTTCTTGGATGATGTAAAGGAATAAGATGATGATCTAAGACTGACTCATATGTGTTTTTAAAGACTATCTTCATGTTTATAGACTCCAAGTGCTATAGCTGTTATAAATAATAGTCACCCTTTATTTCACAACCCTACTTCCAAAAAGTGAGACTAAGCGCTGATCCAAAGCTGGGTGGTCCCTCTCCCTTTAAGAGTGAAGGACAGAGCGTCCATGCTTTCCATGAAGAATGTCGAAATTTTGTTTGGTCAAAGTAAAGGACACGTTTTCACTGAAATGGACTTGAGCCTATCATGTGTACATGGTTTCCTCTTTGTATTGTTCAGTTTTAACCTGCATTCGTGGATGCTATTTTTAATGCAGTGCTGCTTAAGGGCCCTGAAAATCACAGCCACCCAATAATGGTTTCTTGCCTTGTCCCATTTGTAGGGATTTCCCCAGATTCTCTAAATGCATCCATTACAATTATTGCTGATCTCTTTTAGGGTCGTGGGGTCTGGAGCTTATCTCAACTGTCATTAGGCATGGTACTGCCAATCTATTGCACACACACAACTACAGGCAAATTATAGAGGCCAATTAACCTGACAGTTATGTTTTTGGAGAGCAGGAGTGAGACCGCCATAGAGAACCCACGTATGAACATGGAGAGCAGGGAAACTTCACTCAGCAAGGCCCCTGCTTGTTCAGGGATTTGGACTAGAAATCTTCCTGCTGTATTGCAGCGCTGACCATTGCTCCATCAAATCTCCATGTGCTTTGAAATTTTTGGCTGACAAACATTAGTATTAATTCATTGATTAATACTTTGTTTTCCTGAAAAAAAGGATAGAGGGTTGCTATGATGGAGTCAGGCCTGTTATAATGTAAATTATTATCTGAACCAAAACAGACAAGTCATCAAATAGTCACCCCTCAACGAGATCTATTCAGACCATGGCTTGAATGAGTCTTTCTGTTTTGGCTTCATCTTCAGCTCCTGAAGTACCGCTTGGTGCTGAAGCATCAGATAGGATGCTAATCTTGCATTGTCATCATCTTGACTGTCATTTCTTTGAATCATGAATCAGCTTGTCCACACATAACCAGCTGTAATCTACAGTAGGCAACATTTGACAACAGAGGCTGAAATCTTGACCAGAACCAGACTAATAGGTGGAGAGCCCTCTGCTTTGACTGGCATTTACAATTAAACGACAAAATTTTAACATGAAAAGTAGAACACAGTAAAAAAATTAGAACAAAATGCTCACGAATAAAAATAACATCCAAAGAAAAGAAAAAAAAACAGTACTCACTATCTGATCTCCTGTTTTCCCATCATGCAGCATCAGATAGGGTGCTAATCTTGCGTTGTCATCTTTTGACTGGCGTTTCTTTGACAGCATGTTAGAACCTGTCCAAAAAGGACAAAGAAGCCTTTTACTGTAAAATGTATCCATTGACAGGAGGGTTTGGTTTGCTTGGTTTTCTCTGGTCCAAGCTTGATCCAGTCAAAATCTATTACAGAATAATCTAGTGGGGGGTTTCAGCCTGAGCCTGCCTAAAGCCTGAAGCAGCATAATCAAGAGCTGGTCTAGTCATCCTGAAGTCTATAGCACAACAGCTGTCTAGGCCTGACCTAGATTAGGTCTTCAGCAGCCTGATTCAGTCAAAGCTTAAAGCAGTAAAACCAACCATAACCAAGAGCCAGCTTCAAGTCTATAGCAGTGCTTGGTTTAAACCTAACCTTAAGCCTAAAGTAACATACTTCTGATCTGCTCCAAGCCTTAGGCAGCCCAAACCTGTAGCTAAATGACTAAGAGCTGTCCTGAACCTGTGGCACCCTTTACGATCATCTCTCTCTGAATAAATAATCATGTAAATTTAGCCTATGTGTTTTTTAAGGGAGGGTGTCTGCCTCCTGAAGGAGAGAGATGCTAAAATCTGTACCTCCCCTGAAGCCTAAATTTCAGATTGGAGTTGTTTTCTTTATTGACAAGGTTGGCGCCCTCTGTAGGCCTGATGTACTTCCATCATTATCGTCGCTGAATTTGCAGTGCTCCTCTCTAGAGTCACCCCTTGTTGGCCACAACAGGCTGGGAGAAGGCGCACCAAGGTACACCCAAAAGAAGTGTATAACAGGGGCAGCACATTTGCTTTTGTGAGGCCTGGATGTGAAACTCCTCGAGGTCAGTGGGGACCAAGGAAACCTAAATATGATTTTAAAAAAGGAGCTCTGATTGTTGCCTTTTAATTTACACATTGAGTAGGTTCTTCACACTTGCAATTTCCCTTCACATAGAGGTGTAACATGTCAGAGCTGCTGCTGTGACATCAAACAGCGATCATAAATTAACCCTCTGACATCTAAAGCAAGTGGTTCGCTCACATGGTAAACCCCCTCCCTCCTACGTGGTCCCTCTCGTGTGTAGAGAGGGACCACGCAGCAACTGGTCCCAGGAGACCCCTGGTTCATGACCCCTGGGTGCTTGTGTATGTATTTAGAGATCAGACTGGTACTCTAAGGGCCTCTGGTTTTTCCAACATGGGCCCCTTCATAATCCCTCAACACTGTCTGAGGGAGAAAGGCACATGTGCAAACTTCTGATGCACAAGCCTTACATTAGAATCTGTAATAATCCTATATGCCTGAATTATAGTTCAGTTTAAGTTTCGATTTAGGCGTACGCTCTAATCAGAAGCACTTTACTTTGCCATCAGACAGCTCATTTGTTTTTACAATATTTTATTGAATATTAGGTCCACATTTAAAAAAAAAAGTAGTATAAAAAGTATTTTAAAAAAAAATTAAGTAGTAATATTACGAGATTAAATCTAAAAACTAATTTTTATGTGGCCCTAAAACCTCGCCATAGCTAACAAATGCTAACCCTTTACTTAGAAAACTTTGAGCTTGAACCACTCTCATGTCAATACAGTGAAACCACACAGCAAAGATGAGGATATGATGAACTAATTCAAATATCAAATTCAAATATGGGGATCAGTTCTCTCATACTGTATATCATTACGACCTGTCCTCTACTGTCTCTCACTGACAAACACCTGTTTCCACACTGTTGCACCACGCATGTTTTGGGTCTATGCTGCCCAGTTCGCACAGTTCCTGATCTGCCAACTGCTGCTGACACCTTCAGCTGTGATGCTCAAACATTCCAGGGGTGATTCCCATTGGACAAGTTCAACGCTGACAGATATGCATTCCTGCAGTGGCATGCCGTCATCAAACCCACCTGGTCTCTCTTTCAGCGTCCACTTGTTTTTGTTCCAAACTCTGCTGCTGTCTCACGACCTTCTCTGACACCCTTGCACAACAGCGGCACATGCGGAGAAACACAGGTGGACAGATTTAGAGAAAGAACATGTGTTTCATATGTGGTTGAAATTGTGCCCACACTTCTGGTTTTCCATATAATGTCTTGGTGCATGTATTTTTGTTGGAATGAGATTGTTTGCTCTGGAAATGCAAAAGATGACAGAAGAGTACTGGTCACAGTTTTTCTTTCTGCTCTCCAGTAAATTCATGCAAATCTTCCATTGAAGAAAAGTCGTATTACACGGACGATATAAGAGTGAACTCTTGCAGGATGTCTCACGGGGCTCTGGAAGAGTTACTGAGCCTAATGACATGATGTTGAGAGACAAATGCAAGATTTGATGTGAGATTTCCTCTCTTGAATTCTTACTGTTATGGAAATTTCTTTGGTTTAAATATGAAACATCTAAACAGCATTAATGCAAATCTAAGCCCTTCAAACAGTGTTTAAATGGTACCTCTATTGAAATCCAACAAAAACAAGTTTCAGAGGTTTAGTTAATCATTCTTGGCTGATACAGCCCAAATCTCTCAAGATGCTGCTGTGTTTGCCCTCGTCAAACTCTGAGTTTACTTTCCCTCAGATCCTTATAAGTCCTGCAGTGACTCCTTCCAACTGTTGTACGTGCAAGTGTTCATGCTTAAATTTGGGTTTGCTCTGGGGGCAGAGTGGGCAGGTGACCTGGATTTCCCATCATGGGACAGTCATCCCCAGGAAACACAAAGGGAAGCTGCTGTGGGTCGGTCAGCGTAGATACCCATCACTGATCTTCATCCCTGTGACAGACTGCAACCACTTTAACCACACATCAAATGATCTGCTGGCACACACACCACTCCAACCACCTGTGGTAAAAGTTCATGTGCTATTTACAGAGCTTGGTTTTCCTCTGTCAGGGATGATTTCTCAGAAGTTGTAGATTTAAAAAGATTAAAAAAGCACAACAGTCAAAGTCAGCTGGGAAACGTCCTGCTTGAGTGTCATGTCAGCACAATGCTGCAGTTAAATCTATTTACCCTGCAAACTGGATACCATTTGAGTGGATGAGGGCAGGATCAGATGAAAACAAAGAGCAGTAATGGTATTTAGCTTCACTATTCTAAGATAAAAAAATATTCTCTGTTTCATCTATCCATGGCTCTAATCGTATCGTACCGTTCCGTATTGTAATGTATCATACTGTATCATATCGTATCATATCGTATTGTACTGTCCCGTATTGTATCATATCATATCATTTCGTATCGTATCGTATCGTCTCATATCATATCCTATCATATCATTTCGTATCGTATCGTACTGCACCCTATTGTATCATATCATATCGTATCATACTGTATCATCTCATCTCATCTCATATCATATCATATCATATTGTATCATATCATATCGTATCATATCATATCGTATTGTATCGTATCGTTTTGTACCATTTTGTATCGTACTCAAATTTTCATTAAGCTTCGGAGTATTTTTGTTTGCAATGCTCTACACATTTTGCTCCTGCTGTATATTTCTTTGTGTGTTATCCTTAAAAATAAACACTGTATTTGACAAAAAGAAAAACAACAACTTTAAAACCATCCCTAACCTTTAAACCATGGTTTTAGACCACACTGAAGTGGCATTGCAGCATTTATTTGAGTAACAAATTACACTACCAAGGTAACAGACCTTAGTCCGAATCCTGGGTTGAACACTTTCCTCCAGACTCACTGTTTCATAACAGACTTCATACTAACAAGATCATATTCTTTTTTTCATTTCTGTGGGAATATGATCTTGCATGTTTCAGGTTTAGGTTTAGGCTTTAATTGATACACAAAGTTTTTCCATTGCATTTTTCTTTGTTTACATATTTTAGACTTTTTATAACTGATCTATTTGCGGCATGTTACTTGTTAACACTTTTTTTGGCCTTTCACATATTTTACCCATTTTTAGTCTGCTCCCATTGCTGTGTTTCTTTGGGACAATTGTATGTGTTTATGCAATCGCATTGTTTCTGGATTTGCAGCCTGCTTCGTCTTATGAAATCTATTCAGCCCACTGCAGTGCAACTTGGCCCAAAACCAAATCGTGTATCCGCCCATCAACCTGACACCACAATCTCAATAAGTTACAGTAACAAAAGGCGAACAGGTCCTGGCAGGTCCTACATGTTACCATTATGACTTAACATTGTTGACAGGATGCCGCGAGAACATTTACAACTGCCTCCAGCAGGAGAGGAACAGATTTATGAGCCGCCATGACAGCTTATTGACTGTTGGCTTTCGAGATGGTATGCCTTTATTTGTGTGTGTGTGGGAAAAATGGTGAACTTGGCTTTGGAAATGACCAAAGATATTCCAATCACGACAAGCCTGTTTCACAAAGGCTTGAGTGTCCAAATTTATTATGGCCTCTAACTCTTTGATGAGCCAAGGAAAACAAGAATGAAAGAGGAGAAGTCTTATCTGATGAGTTTCTGAAAAAATAAAAACATCTGTCAGTTACATGAATGTCTGTTTTCATAAGGCTGGAAACTTTTTTTGCTCCTGGCTTTGTTTGACAGCTTTAGACTCAGAGGATTCAGGAGAGAGAGGGTGACATGTGATGACAGGCATATCAAACATAGACAAACTGTATAATCATATCCAAAACTTTATATCAACTTTTTTTTAAAAACAGAATCTTAATGTGAACATCAAGTTTGATCAAGTTTGACCTCTGCAATCAGCCACAAACATATCACTATTGCGACACTGAAAATATTAAGAGTTGAAATTTGATGTGATGCCACTCGCCATGTTAAATCAACTTCACAGTTCTTCACTCACCAAGAAACACTTACTCTACCCGCTTTTTGTCAAAAGGTTATTAAAACAAATGGTGAGCATATAGATATACAACATGTCATCTGCCCATCCATGCAGTCCTTCATCCAATACTGGTTTGCGATATGGAACTGAGGTGGGGAGCATGGGTCTGCTGTGAAAGACTTGTGAAAGAGTCACTTCTCGCTGAGCTGAGCCAGTGATCTGGATCACTAAAAATGGGGTAAAAATTCCATTAAAAGGAGCATTTAAACTGAGATCACTAACCTGGAGACTAAGATGGATCGCAAATAACTTGACCAAAATCATCAAACCTCTGTTAATTAGAAGTTATCTGTAGATCTGTAAGGATATAATGTGTGGGATCCAATCGAACTAGACTTGGTTCCTGGATACAGGTTTTAACATTTAAGTCGATTTTTTTGAAACTTAGATTGTTTGGCCATACGCCTTCATTCTGAGTACTGCTTACGACCCTCACTTATCATTGGACCCTTTATAAACTTAAGCTGGCCCTCCTTGAATTTATGTTATAAAACGGCGGGACCAACATTCTTTGCTCTGTAATCGAGTCGCAAGACATATTTTTGCTTTCTGTCCCTTGAGTGCTTCTTGAAATGGGAAAAATGACTTTGAGATATGCTGCTCCTGAGGTTTGAAATCTGTTGCAGGAGGACTTGGGCCTCTTTATATGTGTTTAAAAAGTAGCATTAAGTTGTTTAAGGAAAATGCATCAGGCTGTAGGTGCTTTAACAGATGATTTCTGTAATGTGATAAAGGATATGTTGACATGTTTGTAAATTATGGATGTGTGTGACTGTTGGAATGTGCTGCTGCTAATCTTGACTTTTAATCTCAGTGAGGCTTTCCTGGTTAGAAAGAATTTTGAAACTTAAATAAATAAAAAGTTCAAGTTTGACTCAAAAATAGGGACACAGTAAGAACTGTGGCTATGACAGTATTTTGAGTAAGATGGATCACATACAACTAGAGCACAATCATATGGTCCTTGTTGATTTGGAGAAATCTGTCAATCTTTAAAAGGTATAATGTGTTTAGATTAAATCTTAAAGCAGGGGAGGAGGTCAACCATGGACTCTTAACAGATTATATTGTTAATGATAACATACGATTACTTTGAAACAGGTTTTCTGTGCAACTTATATTGTTGGACAATTTCCAAGCACTCATACGAAATTTCTCTGCTACAGAAAACTGCACCATCACCTCCAAATACACCTGTCAGGTGTTCATGTCTGTCACTATATCAGTGTTGTATTTGGTGACTGTTTCCTTTAGAAGATTGATTTTAGAGTCTTAATCTCTTAAATAGTCTCCATAGCTTAATTTACAAAGGTTAAAAGTATGAAGTTTAAGATTCCAACCGAGCCTAAAAGGTGTGGAAAGCTTCGATTCTTTCAGTGTGGAGATATTTTATTGTGTTTGACTGTTTTATTAGCTCTGCAGACTCTCATGCACATGTGTATGCTCTGACCTTTTAATCCTTTCAGTGAGGGGATTGAGTTTTCACCCCATATACACTTTCCCTCTTTACACACGTGTTCACAGCACAATGAAGACATTGAACGAAGGATCGTCCTACTGCACTCCTGGTCCCCATAAATCTCCCTCTGGATCAGAGAGGAGTTACTGCAGACACACAAACACACACAGGTGCAGGACTCAAACACTGAAATCAGTCTGACATCGAATCAGTGTCTTTGGAAGTTTGTGTTAACAGTTAGACCAAAATATCAATGAGAAAGACTTAAGACGGGACCAAAAGTGAGATCGATCTTTTTAAAGAGGAAGATGATGCTGACCGCTCGAACAGAAAGAGACACATGTGAAACACGCTAAGCCCATGCAGTCACACGCACATAACTTTAAAAGTCTCCTGCTCTCTCTGTGCCTGGCAGAAAAGTCTCAATCACACGATACCAAAATCCCCCACATGCTGCCGCAGCTATACCAGATCTCCTTCTCTGCAACAAAATTCTTTCTTTTGTGCAGCCCGAGCTTTGTGAAAAGCAAGAATGTGTTTTTTTCCTCTGTCTGTTTGAGCCCCAGACTTTACAAGAAGAGTCATGAGAAAGGAAGGAAAACAGACCACAAGTTCAAATAAACCAAATCTGTCTGAAGTCGAAGCGTCCATGGATCATGTCTAACATGAAGAATTTGTATCTCTGACCACAGATCAGCGACATCTAAGTGATGTTTTCATCTTTGAGGTCTGTTTAAAGGTCCGCGCTCTGTCTTCCATCACTTTTGAAGGACATGATATTAATGTGGAACAAATTTAACAAGTGAGGTCTGAAGGAATGTGTGCTGTAAAAGTCAAACGTGTGTTTAAATGTGTTTATAAATCACATCTGGACACAGCAGTTGCCCTTCACTGTTGAGCAATGATGAAGGTAGTGCTTGTAAATATTCACGAGTTACTTTAAAAGCATGGTTTCAGCACAATTAATCAATTCAGCTGATAGTTATTCAACAACAAATCACAGCAGAAGTTGTCTCAGGAGTTTATGCAGATCCAACACTAATCCACTAATCTGAGCAGTAAGCATTAACAGATGTTCAAAAAGGTGAATTTAATAGAAACTTTAAGCAGAAATGGCTCAATGATGTACGTAATAGCTATCATAGACTAACAGTCAGTCCAAGCCTATAGCAGCCATAGACTGTATAAACTATGGACAACTTGGTTCCACCTTTCACCAGTATACAGATTTGAAGCCGAAAAGCTCTCTGTACTTCTGTGATTTTTCTGAAACCAACATTGCACAGTAGCGTTGCACACATTCGGCAGGAGAGTGTAATAAATTTCTAAAGTTTGTCCACAGCTCCATAAGGATTGCTGGAGGAGGCGGGATTTATGACCTATACTGCAGCCTGTCACCAGAGGGTGCTGTTCTTGCGGTGGCTTCACCCAGCGAGGAGGCAGACGGCGTTTATTCTGTAAACAGTCTATAATGGCAGCAGAATTAAGACCCAGTCCAAGTCTGACTGGGCCTAATTATAACCATTACAACAAGGTGTGTTTTCATTTTTTTAATTCTGCATCTGCTAGATGTGTCTGGGTGTAAGTGGAACTGCTGAAGCTGAAATGTCCTTCTGGATCAATCAATCAATCAATCAATCGGGAAAGGGACAACAAACAAAGAAAGATAGAATCTATCTATCTATCTATCTATCTATCTATCTATCTATCTATCTATCTATCTATCTATCTATCTATCTATCTATCTATCTATCTATCTATCTATCTATCTATCCATCCATCCATCCATCCATCCATCCATCCATCTATTCTTTTCTATTCTAACATATTTCCACAGTGGCTCATTTGAAAGTATCCGTAAAACTCTTTGTATTTTGCTATGGCTCACCACTGTGAACAGGTTCTCATCATTCAAATAAAAGAGAGCTGACTTGTTCACAAACCTCACATCTCTAATTGAAAGTGTTGTTTTTTTTCTCATTCGCACAGGTCTAACAAGAGCAAAAGTTGCACAGCCCTTTTTTGGATGAGGATGCTGAGTGTTTGCTTATGCTTTGTGACACCACTTTATTGTCTATTTTTATTTTTTGTTACTGATGAAGGCTTGTTTTATCTGCTAGTTGTTTAAGGATGGTTTAGTTTGTGGCCCAGGTTTGCCAAGATTATTTCAGTTTTGAGCTCTAAGTTCTATCTGCTATTTGTTGTGAAAAGTCCTTGCTAGAGAAACAAAGAGCGAACAACTAAACTGTAGTGGGTTCCCTGATTTGAGGCAAACCAGCTGAATGTGCGTAATTGGGTCAAAAACTTGCTGCCCTTTTTTCAGTGGAGTCTCACACTGACTTATAACCTCCACCAGTGAACTCACTAATCACTGTGTTTCTGCTGGAATGGGAGGAATCTGCTGCTTAATTGTTGTAAATGCTGGTGTGACCAGGCTTTTAGCATGTTACAGAGCTGTGGAGGGCGTGTGTGTGTTTGTGTGCGTGCAGAGCACAAATCCTCTCCTCTCTACACAACAATAAAGGAGTGTGTATTCAGGCTCTACTGTACATGCTGCTTTGTGGTTCATTGTGTTAGCGTGTACAGCATAGACTCCATATGTGGATGAGGTGACTGATTAGAGGGTGGCTCTGCAGCATTCCCCCTCAGGACGGTTTACCCTGTTATTTTCCCCTCCTCAGCCCGTGTCTTCAATAAGGAGGGTGGGTCTGTGACCTCCCTCTTACACACGACCACGAGAAAGGGAGGAAACCCCGACACATCATCATCCTCAAGCGTCCAACAAAGACAGAGCAGGATCACAGCACGCCCTCAAACCTCGGGATACATCTGCATAATCACACTGGAGCTGCGGTCTGCTGCACAGACATGTCACCTGACAAAGTACACACTTTTCAGAATGACAAAAGTTTATTGGCTTAAAGCAAAGTGTCATCATGCCTGACGTTGAGAGGGGAACTAATAAAGACATTGATGATGCTGTAAAAACTCATGTTAATGTGTTAATGCAGTGTTTAGGACGCTCCTGCTTTACAGTAAGTTAAAAAAAAAAGTGGAATAAAAACAGAAACAGACTCTTGAAACATAAAATTTGCCATAAAAAATCTTTTTCACTGAAAAAAGGTGATTATAACAGCCAGTGACTCTTTTGCTGTGTGGGTCTGTTGTCTTTTTTCCATTATTTTAGCATATGATAAATAGCTATATTGGCCTGTCCTTGCCTGTTGCTACATCCCAGCCCATTGCAGAACAGGAGATAATCATGGTTAAGTGTGGCAGGAAATGATTCATATAGCACCAAAATCTAGTAACTAACATGCTCCTTTTGCCTTCAAGATGGGTATGTGATGCAGTTTATACCTTTTTCCCCCTTGAGACACTCCTAAAGTTGACTTGATCTCATTCTGGTGTCACTCATCTTCCCGTTTTTAGGGGAAAAAATATTTTTTATTGCATATTTGTGATATATTTCATGATTATTCAAAGAATTTAGATATATGGTGACTTTCTCTACTTATCTAGACAAAAAATGAGTCAGTTGTGGTCACATTCAGCATCTATTCAAACATACAGCTCCCATTAAGTCTAAACATTCCTACCATAGTGGTTCCCAGACTCCCACAGCCCCTCAGAATAGTTAAACATCACAGGAAACACCACTAAAACATGTTAAAAAATGCCTCCCACATGGCTGTCTGGGAAAGACACTAAAAAAGCCGAAGTGGGAAATAAGCAGGAAAAACAACACCATTCTTTTGTTCTTAGAGTCTTACTTTTATGTTAGTTAAAGGGGCCTTATTCAATCAATTTTACTCTGCTTGTTGTTTGGTCACACATACAACAAGGCAGGCAGGCATCCACACAGAAAGACAAATCAAAAAAGAAACAAAGAAGGTGCCACATGTTGATTAAAGGAAACAAGACCTGCAAGCTCCAGCCGCAAACCTCAGAGCGAAATGGCACACTCTTTGCCCTTATGACGGTGATAATGTGGCTTGATATGACTGAAGCAGAAACTGCAATCTGGGTCAACTCGCTTCAGTTTACGCCTAGTAGTTCAGAATACAAAAACACTCGTGTTTTTCTGCAGAGTGAAACCATTTTGGCCAAATAATTCCTACCTTGTGCTTTCAGGGGCTAATGTGGATGCCAGACACTCTGGATACTCTTGATGGTATCTTGCGTGTGGTGCCTGTTAACAAGATAAAAAGAGATAATACAAATCACAACACAGACAGAAGTTAAACAGTGCACAACGAGAGAGCTCTAGTAAAAAAAACAAAAACAAACAGACTTAGTGGTTTAGTGCTCTTCAGCCTTGTGCTCTTTTTTCCACTGGCTGCAGAGATATCATTGTTGTGCTATACTAATCTCTACATCTTTAACCAAGCATTAATAAAGATAGTTTATTTTAAAATGTACTCCCTATATTTACAGAAGTGAAGAACGGGGGATTAGTTGTATGACTTGTGATTAACTATGACATAACACAGAAGAAGTGATAGTGAGGAGGCAGAGGCCCTGCACTCGAGTAGAAACAGCCTGTTTGCAGTTAGCTGACTTATCTTATCAATAATCACATGCTGTGTTTATTATCATCAGCAAGAAATGCAAATAAAAGGCTGTCAGTGTAATGGAGGACCCTAAAAACCTGCATAAAACCTGTTAGCTACTGTAGTGCATCCTGAATTCAAGCCTGGTTAGCAGCCGAGCTAATAAACTGTTAGCTTAAATAATCAAACAACAGTTCTGACAGGAGGCTAAATAATTAGTCATCAGTTTGACACTAATAGATATTTAGTCAAAATTTTTGCTGAAAGATTTGTTTATTAGCTCAAAATAATGAAGTAACAGAAACTACAAGTTAGCTAAAAAGTAATAGTTTAGTGGTTAAACAGTTAGCTAAAAGGAGTTAAGCTAGTTAGCTTACAGTAGCAGCTGCATTGTGAAATAGACAGATCTATCAGTTACAAAATAGTCTGCTAAAACTTGAACAGAAGAACGTGTCTAAGCAAGATTGCTTTAGCTAGCCAGTCAAAGTTAAAATGCTTGGAAAAAATGATTGATCGGTGTTGGAGATCGTCGACAAAGGATGGTAAACAAAAAAGTTTGCCAGAAATGAGAATTAAAAAAGTAACCAGCCTACTGTGTCAAAGTTAAAATAATGTGGTAAGCTAAATTGGCAAAATAGCAAAGTAATTTAGCTAAAACCAGCAATACACAGTGTACATATGGAGCTGAGAATCATTTTACAGTTAATTTTACAGAATTCAACCAAACCAAGACCGTTCAGTATGACCAAAAAGTGCTGTAAGAACTTTTGGTTTTGTGAATTTCATAATTCTACAGAGTTTTTGTTTTATGACAGTTAAAACACACACATTTTGGACAAAACTAGTCGTGTTGATGAAGTTCATGAATTCATCTATGTACTTGAGTCGCTAGGTTTGAGATAACTTTACGTGTAGCCTGGTTTTGATGATTATATTCATTCACAGGTGAACGTTACAGACAAATTCCCCTCAAATAAAAAGTAATTTCTGCAGAGCAAATACAGAGACTGTTATACTGAACTGAGGTCAGAGAGGAATTACTGAGGGTTTTTTTCATACCACGAGTAGTGTGCAGTGGGTTTACCATCGATACATCTGTTCAGAAAGAAATAACCTGATCGTGCCTCTGACTGTTTCCAGCTAAAAATGCCTGTGTGACACCGCTATCAGCTGACCTGACACCCACAACTCACCACAGACAGAGCAGAGCTCGCAGGGCTTAGTGTGTTCATGCTTATCTTTCCATAGGAGACGTCCACGTCCGTAAAAGGAGACATTTTTCTCTAAAGGTCATGGGATACCGTAAGATAAGGAAAACATACATTCTTAGCCATCTGGTACATAAACTATGTAATTAAAAGTTTATTTCTAATAAGATCTTTTCAGATTAGGGTCGTTTAAGGAAAAATAAACACATTTTTTCCATGGATGCAGACTGGCAGAAGAGGAGACTTTTTTTCTTACTGCTTTGCTTGTTAAAAACCACCAGAAAGACAAATGAAGAGGGATTGCTCAGGGCTTCAAACTAGGACCCCTTTATTTGTTAATTTGTCCTGTGACAGAGGAAAAGGCTCATCAGGAGAGATTGACAGTAAAAATGCAAGAGCGATGGCTCCAGAGAAAGCAAACAGACAATAACAGACAGAAAAGAGTCTCTTGTTCCATCTCTATTGTGCCGAAGAGTGTTTTCCTCAGACCTGGCCCTGAGCCTATCTAAACACCCACGTCTGTGCCTTAAACTGACCCTACAACCCCTCCATTAACCCTCCAAACGTCACACAAAGCCACAGCTGCATCCAAAATCTGAGCACAAGAGTGTGCAAAGGCTAGAGGTGGAGATCACCAGCTGAGGAGGGGACATGTTCTCATTTTAGACACTTGAGGATCTTCATGTCCACTTACTGCAGGCTGAAAAAGAAATGACTTCTCCTTCAGAGGGCAGGTTTTCTACCCTGTCACCCTGTGCCCTTTTTCTTGGAGGGAGGAGGGAAACATGAGGGTTGGATCGAGTTAATATCTACAGCTGGGAGGTCAGCTTTCCTCTGGGACAATGTGAGGATATGAGTGTTTGATGACAACTCATGATAAGGGGCTCAGTGTGTGCGTGTATGTGTGGGGGAGGTTATGGGTACAAGGGCAGCCAGACGTTCTTTCACTCCTGTTTCTGGAGACTGCTGCAAGTCCTCACAGCCTGTCAGGTCTTATTTTATAGTGCCAAAGACGCAGGAAATGGAAGAAGTGCATGTAATCTTTATGTAATTTAAAGGAATCTCTTAAGGTGACGGTTTTTCAGTAGAATAAAAAGTGCACTCAGTAACATTGTATTTCAGCTCAGTGACAGCTGTTTAATGGCCCTGCTGCATTAATGACCATTGCCTTAGGTTTTGTTTAGACAAGTCTCGCCTTTGCAGTAAAAAACAAAAATCTGTTTGCACATGCTGTGAACCAGTGCTGCACAAACACAATCTGCATGCATATGGATTTACAAAAACAGCTGCAAATGCTGGAATAAGCACACCAGGTCAGTCGTTGACTGTATAACTCTTAAGTAAAACACCACTGCCTTTGTCTACAGGCATTTTTCAACAGAACGATGAATGCAAACAAATGTGCATGTGCGAATGGGGCAGTGCATGTTGTTGGTTCATATGCCATTTACATGAAATTTCTACTTTTGAACCTGGTTTAAAAAGTTTGCATTTTCAGCTGCCTGTAAGAGTGTTTCCATGTGGAGAAATGGCGCCTTAAAGTCCCACCCCTCCTTGATTCTGATTGGTGACAGTGATGAGTGCAGCAGCATTTTCAACCAAGAGCATTGAGAGCACAGCAACAAATAAATGCAGACGCTGTGGGTATTTTGGCGCCAAGAATGCTGAACTGCTTAGTTTGGACAGAAAATAGACAAAGCCAGTGCAAGACAGACATCAGCCTCTAACTTGATAGACTTTTGTACCACTTTGTTCCAGACAATCATTGAGTCTCTTCATTTTTTATCCCTCTGACTCTGTGGTGGTGAGTGACCTGGCCTCATGAGAGTCATAAAAGTCAACACTTATTTTACAGATTTAAATATTAGTATCCAAAAGTGCGGATCTAAAATGACATAAATACCACTTTTGAGACATCACAGGTCTGTTTCACCCTGCGAGCTTTGTCACTACTTCAGATGCTTACTGGGGCACAATTTCATATTTCAATCACAGCTTATAACATTTACATTAAAGGTTAGACATTATGGAGGAGAAAAATTACCAAAACAAAAACTGACATTTATGCCCTCTTTCTCTTTGTGATGATGAATATTGCGCTTTTACTGCACTACATTACATAGATGATCAAAATAATCTCCACTATCATCGGCATAAACTGAAAACAAACCAGTGCATTGGATGTTTTTTGCCTGTCCCTCCTCCTAATTAACCTCAGGTTATTCGGCTCTTTTGTGTACAACCGAGCACTTAGTTGAATGCCGGGAGTTTCCTTGGAATTTCACAGACTGTGCATCACCTCAACGCCGTTATTCATCTGACAAAGCTTTTCAGATCTGCAGGCACGATGTTCTTTGCGGTATGTACCTGCCCTTGTCCTCCTGCGTAATCAGAGGAAATGAAGAGGGCTCATCAGTGGTCAGCGAGCCCATGTGTTTCCTGAAGTGCTGTGAGCAAACACACATCCCTCTGCTGGCATTTTATCTGCTCCCAGAGCCCACATCAAGGCCTTGGACTGTCCTCCGAACAATGGGCTCAGGAATCCCGCTCTGCTCTACGAGAAATCAGGCAGTCATTTAGATAGCTGTATCTATCTGTCTAGACACACAGGGCATGTTGGTGGTATCACTTGTTGAAACAATGCAGCTTTAATTGCTATTCAAGTGACTCAGAGGAAAACAACAAACACTGAGTAAAAGGCAGGAATTTAAACATTGTTTCAGGGGGATTTTGGGGTCAAACCTTTGATAGGTGTGTCTTTGTAGAAGATGAACAAATCCTCAATGCAAAGAGAAAAAGAAAGAACCTCACTTTTCTGGCAGCCACTTTCTGGCATGAGGGGGATTTCTAAGATCAGATTTATCGGTTAAAACATCTCACGGGTCAAGAGACACCCACGCCATTCCAGCCCCCTTACACACAGAAGAAAACTAGTAAATAATGACTTCCTGTGAAAATGCAGTGCAAGATGTTTTACCAGTTCCTTTCATTTCCCTCCTCGTCTTTCATCTGGAGTTGTAAGAATCCCAGTGGAAAAAGCTGCAGATTTTGTGGTCATAATTAGTTTAAGCCAAACAGCAGAGGAGTAACAGAAGACAGGAAAAGAAGGCGTGGGTGGCGAGGTTTAAACCGGGTCCCGTATGAAGGTTATTTTGAGTTGAGTTGTGCAGAGTGGGTAATTCTAAGGTCCACTGCTTTACAGTAATGTTCTGCAAAGTGAGAGCCCTCCTGTGGTTAACCATCCAATAGTGTGCTGCTTTTGGATTCATTCATTTCAAGGGGACAAGTGGTTCAAATATAGGGCATGAAACTGATGTGTTGCAAAGTGAGATTATAGCTTAAACTAATTTTCAACTGCTGCCCCCGGTTAGACTTTTACATGAACATGTAATTTAAGGTAAGTTTCAGTGTTATACAACCTTGAGTCTATTAGAGATGAAACGTGTGAATTGCTGATAGAAACAGATAGTTGTAACTAAAAACTTTGATTGTTTTATAAAAAAAAAGAAAATCTAATGCCAGAAACTTGAGTCAAAACTATTGGGATAAGAGCGTGTTTAACGTTGTGTTACACCACTTCTACTTTTAACAACACTCTGCTGGCCTGTCAATAGACTGGCTCCTAATGCTGCGTTCGAGTTACCTTGGAAGTCAGATGTCGGAGCTGAAAATGACGTCACACCCGAGTTACCAGCGTTTCAGTTACTAAGTCAGAAAAAAGGAAAATCGGAGGTGGAAACAAGATGGCTACATCCATGACAGTTATTTTAGCGCTTGCCTTGTCCTTGTTATATTCGGCAAGCACTAAGATAACTTTCATGGATGTAGCCATCTTGTTTCTGCGCTGGTAACGCTGGTAGGGGGTGATCACCTGAGTTGTCAGCTGACTGAGAGCTGGCTTAAGATCAGCTGACTGTAGCCTTTAGCTTGACTCCATAGTTCAGTGCCCACTTTGCTGTATTTTTGTGTCATGATGCACCAATTGTTTTTAACGGGTGACAAGTCAGGACTGCAGGCAGACCCCTTCAGCAGGTGGACCCTTCTACTACTGAGCCTTGCTGTTGTAATGCATTCAAATTCTGGTTAGGAATCCTCTTGCTATATAATGTAAGGACTACCATGATAAAGTCATTGACTGGATGGCAGCACATGGTCCTCCAGATATGTTGTTCATATATTGTTGGTCAGACCAAAAGACAGTTTTCCACCATATCTCAGTCCGTCTAAGGCGGGACTCTACTAACTATTCCATGGATCCTCGTAGCATCAGAAATGCTGGTTTTTGACATGTGCACTGAAAACAAGCCTGGTGGTCTCTCTGATTTTTGGAGCTGATGGTGTGGCGCCCATGATTTCCAAAAAGAGAGCCAAATTTTTTATTGGTTAGACCAAAGGAATATTTTCTGCTTCATCTTCAGTGAGCTGGGGCCTTGAGAAGTTGCTGATGTGACTGTATAATGTTTACAAATGGTGTTCTCTTCACATGGTACACGTGTGGGCTGTGTTCACAGATGCTAGTTTTTGGCTGTGATTTTGACCCCATGCAGTGATTTCCACCACAGAGTCGGTTCTGGTTTTAATGCAGTGCTAAACCTTTAACATCACAGTCATCCAGCACTAGTTTTGGGCATTTTTAACAGAGATTTCTCTATGATCTCTGGATCTTTTAATGATATCATGTATTTCAGATGATGACATTTAACAACTGATAAGTGCATTGTAGGCCAAGGAGCACATATTTGTTGCATCTGACAAATATGCATTGTTGCGTTCATGAATAGTTTTTTTTTCTCTTACTTTTCTTTTCAGGTGGGACAAGGGGGCTGTCCCCTCCCGAGGGACGTTTCCCTCCCCCCCGAGTTAGAGTTTCTTAAAAATAGCCAAACTATGGTCAGGTGTCCATATTCTGACTTCCCAAAAAGAGGACACGAAGGACGACTACCCAGGGGTGGAGTCAAGGAGTCGCACGAAGTTAATTTTGAGAGTTTTTTGGGTCAGATCGAGTGTCTTTTACACGATTCTAATTTAGCAAGCCCACGTGACACAAACTCAAAACTTTACATACAAAACCGTGGACATTTGACGGATTTTATAAACTTCCGACAGCCCCGAAAAAAAGAGGACATGTCCGGGTAAAAGAGGACTTATGGTCACCCTAAACTATGGCAGAACTGACCATGACTGCTGCGGTCGATAGCCTAGCTTCTGAGTGGGTTTTTTTGGCCAGTTTGTCAAACAAAGGGGCTGAACTAATACACAAAAATGTCTAGTAGGAAGACATAGACTCTGAGTTTTTCAGGGAACAGAAATCTGCTAAGACCAAAGATAAACGCACAAGAGCTCTTTGTGTGGCTAAAACTGCCATGCGCAACAATAACCAAAGCTGCAAAAATAAAAGTATTGAGAAGGCGACTAGCAAGCCTCTTAAATCACGCTACATTCTTTCATGGTACCCATATCCTTTGTTCAATTAGTTGCATGCCTGCTTGTTTTTTTTTCAAAGAAACAACACATTATTATCCATCCTTCATCCCTGTACTATTAATAGTCCTGGAGGAGGACCAGATTTCCTGCTGTGATGCAACTTGTTGTCCAGATGTTGACAACCCTTCAAAACAGTGCAGCAGCGACTGAAAACAGTGAAGTCATGGGAAAACAAATAAACACACCCACCTCAGAGTGGAGCGTGGAGTTGCCTAACATGTCTGTTTCTCCTGAAAAGAGAGAAGGAGAGGCACGCGGGGCCAGGAAAAACTTCACAAGGAGCCTCAGCTCTGGAATTCTCCCACACAAGAAAAACAGACATGATGACTCCTGCTGTGGAAACAACACATTATGTGACGTTAATTAGCTTCTTAATTTCTGCAGTAATTACACTTTGTTCAGAAAGTCAGGGAAAGTTGGAAAAGAAAGGCGGATATGTCTTATAAGAAGGTTCAAAAACTGTACATCTGACTGTCTGATACAAACACAAATTCCAATGACGTTGGGTAAACATGAATAAAAGCAGAATAGAATGATCTGCAAATACTTTTCAATCTATTCCAATTTTATTGTTTTTTCACCAATATTCACTAATCTTAAATTCAATGCCTGCAACCCTCCTAAAAAGCTGGGACAAGGTCACGTCTGTGTTACATCACCTTTCCTTTTAACAACACTAGGTAAGCGTTTGGGAATTAAGGACACGAATTGTTGAAGGTTTTGAGGTGAAATTCTTTCAGTTGCCCAACAGTCCGGGGGTCTCTGTTAGGGTATTTTGTGCTTTATAATGCTCCACACATTTTCACTTAGAGACAGGTCTGGACTTTAGGCAGGCCAGTCTCGTACCTGCACTGTTTTATTACGAAGACACGCTGTTGTAACACGTGCAGAATGTGTCTTGGCGTCGTCTTCCAGAAATAAGTAGAGACGTCCCTGTGAAAAAGATGTTGCATGGATGGCAGCATATGTTGCACCTTCACCTGTTTGAATGGAGCCTTCGCAGATTGTGAGAGTTAACCATGCCATGGGCACTAACACACCCCCATACCATCACAGACGTGTTTCTGGATGTTGTTCATACATGTCTTTGGCTTTACATGGTGGAGCTTAAACTTGCACTTGTAGATGAACTCCTGAGTTACACAAGATAATAATTCCCCTTACAGAGAGATGTGGGGTTTTAATGCAGTGCCACCTGAGGGGTCAAAGGTCAAGGGCATTCAATGTATATTTTGGCCCATGTAGAGACTCCGGGGGCAGAATCACAGTCGCACAAAGTTAATGTTGAGAGTTTTAGAGTAGGATTGAGTGTTTTTTATGCACTTCTAACTCATTAAGTCCACATGACACAAACTCGAAACTTCAACTACAAAACCGCAGACACTTGAAGGATTTTATAAACTTCCCGGACAAAGCCAGACAAGCCCTAGCACGGGCAACCCCAAAAAAGAGGACATATCCGGGTAAAAGAGGCCGTATGGTCACTCTACAAATGACGAAATTGCTTACAATTGCATGTTGAAAATCTTTGTTTTTAAACTGTTGGACTATCTGACACAGTTGTTGACAAAGTAGTGAACCTGCCCCATCATTGCTTGTGAACGACTGAGCCTTTTTGGGGTTGCTCATTTTATACCAAATCATAACCCTCACCTGTTTCGACAAAACCTGTTCACCTGTGAAAGAATCCAAAAAGTGTATTCAACTGAATATCAGTCAAAAAGGATTTGCAGATCATTGCACTCTGTTTTTATTCACTTCAGAAACCAAAAGATGACATCAGTGAGACCACGTGTATGTTTGTTGACTTTGTACAGTGTGGATGAAAGCCGCTGTTTAACTCCATTTATTCCTACTGTACTTCCACTGCTGTCGACAGGAAATGGGTTCCCGTGGGAGAAATCTTTAACATGATGCATAGAGGAAATATATGAAATGGATGAAAAACAGGAAACTCTAACTGGACAAAAACCGCCTGTTTCATGACCTCTACACATTAGGATCCACAGGAGAAGAAACGTATACGTCCTAACTTTCTGAGAGCTTACGTAACAC